ACTATATACTGTCTACAGGTATCCGTCTCCTCTTCTCAGTCCTACTGCAAGCGTCCATGTACATACTCGGACAGGTGAAAAACCGCTTTGAGCAAACCCAGTGGGGAAAATCTCGAAAGGGGAAAACCCGTCCCTACCTACTGCAGCACTGCCTCCAACTCCCGCTTTCCTCTGTCCTAATCCGTCGAACTCGATAGAGTTCCCTCGATTCGTTGTTACCCCGTAACAGATGGCCATGTCGACAGAATCGTGGTTCGATGATGACGAAGGGTACACGAGTAACATCGTATGGCCCGAAGAAATTGAAAACCCGTGGGTTGAGGATAATGAGTGGGTGGGATTAGCTACAGAGTCTAATGACGTGAGCCACACTCGTGTAATCCCCACCTGGGTAGTGGATAGTGGTGCTACTCACCATATAACTCCTCACAGGTCGATAATGACGAATATTAAAAGGCTAGTGGAACCGAGAGTGTTCGGACTAGCATCTGGCAAGTCAATGACGGCTTGGGAAACAGGTGACATTAACCTCGAACTAGATTCAGGACAGAAAATGGTACTGAAAGATGTACATCACGTCCCCACAGCAAAGATAAGTCTTCTCTCCCTCTCGAAGTTACTCTCATGGGGGTGGAAAGCGAATCTAAGTAGTGGTGGTGGATGGATAGGTAAAGGTAAAGAGAAACTAGGTTTGAGGAAACATGACTCACTGTGGTCGGTACGATTCGGCAGAGCAATGTCTGCTGCGATGATCGTGATATCGACACCGAAGGCGACTTCACCACTTGAATCTGAGCATCAGCGACTCGGACATATAGGTGTAGATAAACTAAAGAATCTAGGTAGACAGGGACTATTGAAGAAGGACTGGGACACTTACAAGAACGATCCCTTTACAACTGATAAATGTCCCGCCTGCATGCAGGCCAAGATAACACGTCTACCGAAGAATAAAGAAGCACCAATGTTAAAAGGAGATGGTGAAGGAGTAGGAATGGATGTCGATATTACTGGTCCGTTCGGTCCGGCGATAAAAGGTGAACGATATTTCTTCGTTGGTGTGGAAAGGGCGAGTCGAATTGTATTCGCCATACCAATAACGACTAAGAACGAAGCGTCTGATATCGTTCGACAGTGTATCTCAAAATTGGAGAAACAGCTTGGTGAAAGGGTGAGGGTGATTAGATCTGATGGGGGAGGTGAATTCGATAGCCTCGATATGAGGGAATTCTACCTGTCAGCAGGGATCAACCACTACATCACACCAAGATACACACCAGAATTAAATGGAGTGGCGGAGAGAATGATACGTACCTTGAAGGGGATGGTATCAACGATGTTGTTTGACTCAGGACTACCGAACGAATATTGGTCCTATGCTGTCAGATACGCCGCCATTATAATTATGAAAACATCGATTGGTGTCAGTGGTAAATCAGGTTGGACATCACTCACAGGAAGAGACACGAATCTAGATAGCGTGTGGAGATTCGGTGAACGATGTTTCGTTCAGATACCAAGGGAGATAAGGCTGAAGTCGAACTTCACGATACCTAGGGGTTCATCAGCCATTATACTAGGTCAAGATGAGGGTGTGAGCGGTTGGATCGTTAGAATGGACGGATCGGGACGAATCGAACACTCACGAGACGTTCGTCGCTCGACAGGACGAATGGTGGCTACTAGAGAGTCGCCCGATGTCATCCAAACCCCTCTCGACACCATCGAAGTAGACCTAAACCCCGTTGTCAACGAAGAAATTTTCCTTGACAACCGCTCAGAAAGTGGCGAACAGGAAAATATCGATAATGAACAAGGAAATGATGTCGACAGAGACAACTCACCTAATACAGGTCCACAACCTACTGAAAGACGACGTGGACAGGGCATTTGGGGAGGAAATTGGGTCTATGAGAACGATATCGTCGAAAATGAGAGAAATGATGAGGAAGGAAGAAATGATGGGGACGAGGGGATCGTGACGACACGTCACGGACGAATTATTCGACCCCCCCACCGTTTCGCAGGCCTAACAGACTCGTTCCTAGATTTCGGTCGCGAGCCTAATAAGTTAGTCTCACTCGCCTCTATCGCAGGTATCGAAAGTGATACTTCTCTCATTGATCCTATCTCTCCTGAAGAAGCAGTAAACGGCCCAGATGGTGAGAAGTGGCTAGAATCCATGGAGAAAGAGATATCCAACATAGAATCTAAGGATACATGGGTGGAGACGGTACTTCCACCGGGACGAAAAGCCATTGGATGTAAATGGGTATTCAAAGTGAAGACAGATTCTGAGGGAAACTTACTAAAGTACAAGTCACGACTAGTAGCTCAAGGTTTCTCACAGATACCAGGTGTCGACTACGAAGAAACATTCGCACCTGTAGGACGATCGGGATCGTTACGAATACTCTTGACTATAGCAGCAACCGAAGATCTCGAAATTCGTCAGGCCGATGTCGAAGGGGCGTATTTGAACGGTAAACTCGATGTCGAAATTTACATGAAGTATCCCAAGGGAATAAAACCGAAACCTGGATGTAATACCTTGAAGTTAATAAAGTCTCTTTACGGTTTAAAGCAATCTGGTAGGACATGGTGGATAGAACTCGGTGAAGGATTATCTCACCTAGGTTTTTCAAGAATCGAATCAGATTGGGGTCTTTACTACAGACCAGAAGGGAAAGTCGAAGGAAAGGGAGCAGCAATACTGCTGGCCTATGTCGATGATCTGGTATTAGCCACGAAATCGAAGGAAGAAGCTAAGGAAATTTTCGATGGGCTAGGTAAAAGATGGATAATAACCGACCTGGGGGAGATAAGTACTATCTTAGGTATGAAGGTAACAAGGAACAGAGAAGAACAGACGATATGGTTAAACCAACCAGCGTACATCGATAAGATAGTTCAGAAGTTTCCAGAAAACGACTTACATCGAGACCGAAAAACGCCGTTACCTCTTACTGCGAAAAATCCTTCGATGTCGGAGGTGGAAAGTGAAATTAGACCATTTCAAGAGTTAATAGGATGTCTACAGTGGTTAGCCACATGTACTCGACCTGACATATCATATGCAGCCTCATACCTTGCTAGGTACCTTACCAAACCGACGAAGAAAGTATGGGAGGAAGGGATAATGGTAATTACCTACCTTCGGTCCACTCGTTTACACGGTATTCGTCTTGGTGGCGAGGCTAGCGATCTAGCAGGATGGGTTGATGCCGATTGCGCAGGTTGTAAAGACACACGACGATCAACTACTGGTTGGATATTTATGATGAACGACTCACCGATAACATGGAGTTCAAAAAGACAAGCTACGGTATCGTCGTCGACAGTGGAAGCAGAGTACATCGCGATGGCTGAAGCAGCGAAGGAAGCTCAGTGGTTGAGGGGATTACTGAGGGAGATAGGCTACGATCAGCTAAATCCTACTGTATTAAATTGCGATAACCAAGGATCGATATCACTAGCGAGGAAACCTGGTACTCACCAGAGGACAAAACATATTGATATTCGACATCATGCCCTTCGAGATCTAGTCAGTAACAAAGTTATTGAACTAGAATACGTTAGCACTGTCTCACAGAGAGCAGATGTACTCACGAAGGCTTTAGGCGGACCAGTACATTCGGTGAATATGTCAGCGATACGGGTAGAACCACCGAAGAAGAAAAACATTGGTTCAGTATACGTGACATTAGATGATGATGAAATCATCGATTACGATTATTCAGATTTCGAGGACCTAGGAGATCTATCAGGTGGTACAGAGAACGAAGTGGTACCAGAGACAGAGTCGGTACCAGAGAGAGAAGTGTGGGTGGAAGGAACTTCAGAGAAACCCACCGAAGGTACCACCGAAGGAAAAGTTCTCGTGAGCCAAAATGTAAAATTTTCAGGTGTACCTAAGAATGTGAGTAATTCTAAGATAGGTCAGAAGCCACCGGTAGAACCTAGAGTCATTAGAGAGTTAAGAGAGAGAAATAAGGAAAAGAAGAAAAAGATAAGAGAGAGAAAAGATGGGAGGATACATGACACTAATTGTCATCGATCTGGTATCCCAACAAATTCTCCACATGCTGACAGGCCCTTTCGAGATCGTAAAGAATGTCGAAGAAAGGTGCAGATGCACCTTGACCAGCGTTCGAGAGAGAGACAAGCAACCTTCGGAGGAAACGGATCTGTCGACAGGCCGCCTCCAAGGTACGGACCGAGATATCCGACAGTTCAGCTGGTCAGAGATAATTTTCATGATAAAGTGACTAATGAGCGTACCATGAGCCTCACCAGGCCTCAGGAGAGGAACCAAGGGATCGATACCATCGGGAAGTGGCGAAGACATAATGAAATTGTTAATGAAAATAAAAGTTTCTCGGTGGGTAGCGGTTCTACGAAATATCGTCAGCCAGGACCACGAAGGAAATTCATCGATTCTCGGGAGTCTACTAGCAAACCTGAAGTTTTAAGAAGTAGACAGGATAGAGGGAAGCTCAGACAGTCAGAAACGAGTGATAAAAGTGGAGAAAGACGAAAGGTGGACATACCGATAATTGGAGATAAAAGTGATGAAGTAAAAGGAATGATAGAGAAGAGTCAGTCGTCAGTAGTGAGTGGTAACCACGTGTCAGAGCGGAGCCCCGCAGGGGGCCCCACCGAAATTCATTTCACGATTTCACCTACCACTACTACCACACACATAACACTCAATATCTCATCGTTATTACCTTCTACATCATCACAAACCTCGCCGTCGCCATCGATAAATCGTCCGGGACTACTGCAGAGTCGTGCATTGTCCCGTGGGGGAGTGTTAGCCGATAGAATCGGGCCAGGACGGCCGAACCGCCGTTAGATAATTACCCCTTCCGTCGAATATTTCTCCGTTCAACTTATCCTCTGAACTTTATTCGATCGTCTCTGGTTTTATGCGTGTGAGTGGAATGTGATAAGTATAGAGACATGTAGAATTGATGCATGCTCTTTTTCCCTCTGTATTACCATCTAATTATCAGCAAACAGTTTGTCATTGTTATATGATTTGATCAGACATCGTCATTGCTCATGCATCTTCAATGATTATATACAACTGGGAACACGGGCTTCAAATTTGGTCACCATCCTACTCACTTGGGCTGCTTGGATCTGGGGCGGACATTCCTGCCCTGTGTCCCAAGTGTGCCATCATCCTCCTGGTCGGATGTACTCAAGCTCCGCTTCCTCTGCCTTGGGCTTTTGGGAAGGGCCGTGGATGGCGGCCGTAGAGTGGTCATTGTAGTTGTGGTCGTTGAGGTTGGTGCACGCAGCTCCTTTGTTGCATTTACAACATGCTCGTCCACTAAATCAAGTCTCCGATCTGTGGGCCTTGGGCTAGGAGGGAGGAACGATGGCGGTGCTGGCATTATTGGGAGTGAATCGGAGATCATCACTGGCGGAGGGGAGGGTAGTAGTGACGCCGAATTCTCTGGTTTCTTTGCTTCAAACATTGTGTGATCGGTGTTGTCTGTTGAACCGTCCGCTGGCGCGGGAGGGCCAGTCCAACCCGTGCTTGGTGAGTATATGGTCTCAAAATCGTCATCTGTACACAATGCCTCTAGTGGGAGGTCCGAGGGTGGAAGCCGCGGTGATCTTCTTGAGACGGGAAATTCAAGTGGAATTTCAAGTTTGGCAAGGCTGTGGTTGTCTTCAGTCCTGAAGTTAAGTGATTCTTGTGTGTAAGAGCCATCACGAACTGAATGAGCATCCGTGATTGGGTTTTGCATGAGCCAGGCAGCCAACTCTACCACTGTTCCATCTGCAAGCTCAATGGTCTTGTTTTTCAAGTCCATTGAGTTCATTGATTCCCTCAACCTCGATGTGATCCGCGGGCGAAATTCTTCTAACCTACCCATCACGTCATCCTCAGACTCCCAAGGACGTTCCAAAATCTGATGTACAGATTCTGAGTCTCCAGTCTTTGTATTGTCATCAAAGGGTATTGCAAGATCGAGAGATAAAACAGGGGGGGGAAATTCATCCATCAGGAAGGAATGTGGAGGACGGCTTGGTCAATGACTAAGAATTAGATATTTTCAAGAAACAACTCAGAGTTCACAGAGAATCGAAGAGGTTATGTAGGTCAACAAATTTCTTGAGACTGGGTATTTATAGTCTCCTGTGCCAACTAGGAGTCTGACTGGACATCAAATCATAACTCCACATTGTCATCGCCGAGATGTGGTTGAAGGGAAAGGCGAGAAACTTTACTCTCAATTTCCTCCCTTCCCACTTCCTCCCTTCTTCCCCTTTCCCCCTCGGGTTTCCCCCATCACTCTTCCTCTACCTTCCCTCTTCCCCCTCCATCATCCCCGCACAGCCCCATTAGCCTGAAGAAAGGTAAAAATCACACACATTGGAGGTATTCTCTGAGTTGAAGAGATGAAATACCCTTTTCAATATTTTCCCACGCTTCTCACATCCCCTCTATTGACTTTACCTTTCGAGCGCCTTCTGAATACGTGCGAGTGTGAGAAGAGCTATAGAGGATAGTACATGACGTAAACCTACGTCATCGGATCACACTGCCTCGCCAAGTTTGCCAGCGATTCAGTAGCCAGCGGATTATGGTAAAAGGCAGGCGGAAGGACGTGGATCTGATGGTGACAAGTGGAAAGTCACCAGGAATGATGATCAGTGCCTGTTCCTCTGACTAGCATCAAGGCACTAGGTTTCCGGAAAATCAGGATCATTTTCAAGGTCTCGGAGAAAGAATTCGAAGGCAGGTGAGATGTGATCCGGGTCCGGTCAGCGTATATATGCGGCTCCGCTCATACTCTCTCATGCATAATCTTCTCTTAGTGGTATGGAGGAGCACCGGAACGACTGAGGGAAACAGCAATCGCTACTCCCCTGGTCTCAATGGTATTCAATCAAGCTTGACTTTGACTGCCTGTTGCTGCACTATCTGAATTGAGAGCAGAACGACTCGATGTACTTGCTCCCAGAATCCCTTGGGACCTCTCCCTTGGAAGATTCAGGTGCGTCCAAAGGATATCGGCCTTCAAGGAGTCCACGCCTCGGTTGTCCCAAGTCTGAAATCCCGCCTCTGGAGATGAACTGATGGCTTGTTCAAGCATGCCCTTCGGCGACCCAGTTGGAGGTAATGAAGGGTGACGCTGGGCATGAACATGGCTGATGAATTGCGCCAGAGTCATCTCTACTCCACCCACCCACACAGTGCCAGTTGTCGGCTCATATCGGTTTCCCGGATCGCTCTCACTGAGAGTGACTCCTGGTGGAAGACTCCCTTGGGCTTCTTCAAAGCTCATGACCAACTTGTTGTTATCATCCTGGTTAGGACAAGGCAAGGCATTCGAGGCGATTGTCTGCGGATTCCACAAGAAATCCGAGGCTCGGCGTACACCCAGTTCTAAAGTGCTCTGTTTTCTTCCATGTGAATTGGTGCTATTGCGGTCATGACGGGCCTCGTTAGACGGAAGCCCTGACATATGGTCTGGTAAGTGAGGACAATTTGATAATACCAAACCCATGGATAGATTACCCCATATATGTATGTATGTACTGTATGTCCCTCTTATGACGTAGCGTCAACCAGGAAGGCCTCACTCTTCCCACGATCCCACGGCCCAAGTTTGCATATGACGCGTTTGAAGTATTCCTACACAGTACCTAGTACCGCCCACTAGAAGTCCAAGGTACCTGGCCTACGACGCCAAAGGGGGTACGTGACGTCAATGAAGAAGCCGAGTGGTCCGCGCGTTAAGGACGGACCACCTCATCACCGCATCCTCCCTTCAGCGACGCTACGTCACTACCCTCCTCAAACATGATCTCTCCCATGTCCGAGCTTGATAGCATATGGGAGTGCAGTAGCCACAATATCCGCCCATGATGACTTGCCATTCTCAGATAAAATGTCCAGAGTCGCTCTGCGTCACAGTAGAGTACACTACCATGGGATATGGGCAGTCGACTGATGATGACACCCGGGGGGTTCGGGACCAAATCACCTGCAGGCACGCGGCACGCCAGGTCCATGAATGATCGATTCTGTTTCCATGGTAACGACGAAACACTTTTCGGCAGTGATTTCATGCATCCTCTATCCCCTCCGTCCCCCGACACTGTACGTAGCTTGTTCGAGTCCCTGATCAGAAGACACCCCTCTCTACGCAATACCGTAATCCTGGGCGAAACATCTCACCACGTTGGAGCACTGAAGAGCTTGGGTCTCTTTGTCACGCCTGTCACCAAGAAGCGCGGTCGATCTGAGCAGACGAGCTAAGTTCAAACTGGCTCTCACGATGGTGGAGTATTTATCTTCCCAGGAAATTATATCTTCCTCGTCCTGACTTTCACCGTAATCCCCTTGTTGGAAGTCTTCCTCCTCGGCTCCATCCTGGTGATCCGAGTGACTAGACGTATCACCACCCCAAGCACTTTCAGTATCAGATTCCATCTCGATTCGCTCATCTTCGTCAGCTTCATCCCTCAATACTGCCGACTGGTGAGTATTTAGTTCGATGGCCCGACGGCATATCCGAGCTGCCTCAAGACCTGTTGGCCAGGTGGTACGCAAGGAAACAGAATCCTTTACGGCGTGGCAAATCTCTGAAGAAATCTGTTGGTTTGCCCGGAATAATGCCCCGTCCAATTCAGCCCCTAAAAGTGTCAGCATGTTTGGGTATACCCTTTGATGGAGGAGCTGCTCCAATTTTTGGCCTTGCGCCCCTGACTCTGTAACTTAGCAACGAACCCACGATCCAGGAGACAGAGATCCAAGCTCTGAAGGACCTACCAAGTTGGCTTAGGGTGTTCATAACTTCGGACATGTCAAATCACAAGATCACACGTTCCTCCCGTTTCTTACATCTTACACTTTATATCATTTCTCGACCAATAAATCGAGTATCCGTCTATCAATTTCAACTTCAGTCACCAAGCTCCATTAATGCTTTTTGACAAGCGGTCAGAGCTCTGGAGCGAGCCCAGCACCCTTCCCCTGGCCCCTGGCCCCTGGATTGAAGTTTTGTGTCCCAGTTGACAATCATGGATGGAGAGTGGATGGACCATGGGAAGGACGATAGCTGCTCCCCATTCTGGTCCACCAATGTGAGCCAAGAAGCCAAGATCCGTAGACGATTCAGCTTCTGTGCGTGTTCGACGTGGGTGGAGTATTAGGTGAAAGGTTCGTCTTTTTCCCAAGTGAACTTTCCTTCTTCTTCTCCTTCTTGTCTTTCTCTCTACCTCCTTTTTCCCATGACCTTCTCTACTAAGCGAGTCAATATACGTAGAAGGAAATTCCAAGATCCGGTGCGGATTTCTTGGCGGATGACAAGATGCAGGTTTCGCACACTAGGTAGAAATGCAAATTATCGTGTGAACGTTTCTCAGGAGAGTTTCGCTCATTTTCTAGGCGCTTCTACCCTATTTCCCACGCTCAAATCAATCCTGATACTTCACACAACTACCAGAAAGAAGACCACGAGGATATGGAGGTCTTTGAGCTGATGGATGTAGTTGAAGGAGAGGGCAAAGGGAGAGAATAACACTTCCTTCTACTTATGGTAGGTGACTCTTTGGGGAAGGACGTGGTGCAGGTGAAAAAACTATAAGAAGTGGGTAAGCGTCGCAACAGTTGTTCGATTACGCATCATGTCATCTCCAATTTCTAGCCCCACTGTTTGCTGATAATTAGATGGTAATACAGAGGGAAAAAGAGCATGCATCAATTCTACATGTCTCTATACTTATCACATTCCACTCACACGCATAAAACCAGAGACGATCGAATAAAGTTCAGAGGATAAGTTGAACGGAGAAATATTCGACGGAAGGGGTAATTATCTAACGGCGGTTCGGCCGTCCTGGCCCGATTCTATCGGCTAACACAAACACCCAAAGGATCACGTATACTCTATTCCCACTCACCCGTCCTCATCAACTGTGCGAACACCCCACCCTTCCTGGACAATTCTTCAAAAGTCCCTTGTTCTACCACTCTGCCTTCTCCAAGACAGATAATCTTATCACATCTCTTCATCGCCTCGAGACTATGAGTGATAAAGATAGTTGTTCGAGTCTGCCTTTATCAATATTCCCCTCTCTGCTTTCAAACGTCTTCCCGGATTCTTTTTGATCTTCCCTCTCATCTCTCCGATCTTCATCGTTCAGGGTATGTTAGGATCATCGAGGCTGCCTCACTTGTCGAGTATCTCACTCGTGACTGGATCGTTCACCAAATTTAGGTATCCGAGTTCGAATCAGTGCCGAGAGTGGGACAAGAATGAACGATCATGGCGGAGTGAGAGGTGAGAGAGGGTTGTAGTGAACAAGGATGAAGCACGACTCACATCTTTGATCCTAACGATAGTATCCAATATAGCTCTTTGATTCTCCACATCCAAAGCCGAAGTACATTCATCCAATATCAAAACATTAGACCTTCTCACTAAAGCTCTAGCAATTTGTAACCTCTGAGCCTGTCCACCAGAAATCAAACTTGCGTTTTCTCCTAAATGAGTATCATAACCATCCGGTAAAGATTGAATGAAATCATGTATATTAGCCGCTTGTGCAGCTCTATGTATCTCACCCAATGGTACATCCGAACCATAAGCGATATTCTCCGATATTGTAGCGTCGAACAAATTTGCTGATTGAGAAACAACTGCAATATGATTTCTCAACCATTTAACATCTGCTTGAGAAAGATCGAATCTATCCATTTTTATTCCACCTGATGTTGGTTCGTATAATCTTTGAAGAAGAGAAGCGATTGTCGATTTACCACAACCGGAAGGACCGACAATAGCTATACATTCTCCTGGAGATAAAGAGAATGTGAGATCTTGTAGAACGAGAACGTCGGGACGAGTAGGATAAGAGAAAGAAACATGTGAGAATGTAACGTTTCCACTTATTGGATAACGTAAGGTTCCAGATGATTCAGAAACAGTTGTTGAAAGTTTGAGAAATCGATGAAAGTCTGATGCTGCAACTTTGGCTTTTGACATGGTTGGAATGAAATCTAACATTTGAGAACCGAATGTGAGTGAGAATAGAACTAAGTTGTAGACTTGAAGCATTATGACGTAGTTGAAATGACCATTCAACATGAGTTTAGCACCGGCCCAATTGAGGAGTGCTAAGGTGTTAGCTAAACACCGATCTGAGAGAGATGGATAGTTGCAAAGTGGATGAGATACTTACCTTGACAGAATAGAATCATTCCACCTGTAGCACCTGTTCCGATGGCTACGAGCCAAGCATCATGACGACCTCCGCGACGGGCTGTAGCGGAGTCGATCTCGAATTTCTCTCTGAACACGCCTTCAAGAGTCATAGACCTGATCCCTCGGATATTGGCAATACTCTAAAGATATCAGCTGGCGATCTAAGACTGATGTTGATAGAGCTGAAACAGAAAGTGGTAGATAAACTAAAGGGCAAAACCCAGTAAGGACAGGGCCAATATCTCGACTTCTGCTCCGGAGAATTGGATGGATGTTTGTATTCAATATTCGAAGCTCTCAACTCACCTCGTAAAACACCTTGGCAACAGCTTCTCTCCTCGCTTTACTCCTCACTTCTGCGTTCCTGATCAAACTCTCATTCCCCACAATAACAGCGACGAACACCGGTGCCAAAGCGACACCTATCAAAGTTAACCTCCATTGCACTACCAAAGCCCAAATCACCCCAACGGATATCATGACCACCGCCACTAGAAATCTGCCCATGACAGAGCTCACTAATCCCTTGATGTCATCTGTATCTTTCATTATACTCTGTACCAAAACCGCTGGGGAATTCTCTGATCTATCAAACCACGCTTTATCCTGTTGAAGCACTCCATCATAAGCTGTTTTCCTCAGTTCTGTGGCCCAATGACCGGACACAGCGTACAGACAGTACTCCTCGAAGAAAATCGCGATTGCCTGAGCGGCAGCGAGACCTAAGACGATCAAAGCGTATTTGGTCAATGCGAACGAAGAATCGCCAACACCTGCGAATTGCATCAACTTCGAAAGATATGAAGCCCATAATGGAGTGGTGACACCGTGTGCGATGGCCGATAGTAGCCCAAGTAACAGTAGAGGTTTCCGAGGGATAGTGAAGTAATATCGATATAGTACTATGAAGATGCTAGGAATGGATTTGGGTTTGATGTTTGATATTTCTTCAGAGGGATGGGTGATCACTTCGAAGGAAGAACTTTTCAATTCGTCTTCCAGATTCTGAGAAAGGGTTCGGGATTTAAAGTCGTACGGGACAAGGGATACTCGAGCTTTTTCAATCTGAATCGGAGGCTGTAAAAAGCCATCCGAATTGCTGAGCCGATGAATAGTGGATGGGTCACTAGGGAAGAGTTGTCGAGATACACGAGTACTGATGACACTCGAACGACTGCCCGCCCGCGATAGACTATGTCGACTTCCTCTAATGTCTAGTTCTTGAGGTGACCAGCTGAGTCGTTTTTGTGCAGAACTCAACGGTCGGACTGATAAATGTCGGGAATCTCGTTTGGTAGGATCGATACTTGAACTTCTCAGTCCTTTGGAGTAATCATCGAGGATCCCAAGATACATGGCACTTCCAGGTCGAAGCCCAGGACCAAAGCTTGGGGTACGAGGACGAGAAAATCTTTGATCTCTAACGGGAATTTCGTCATCATCCTCGAGGACTTCTTCAATCATTGAGCCGTCCACATATTCTTCGAATTTCTCCGGGACAGGATCTGAAGCCTGCTCAGCAGCCATAGACGCAAAGATTCCTAGAGGCTGGCCATGGAGAGGAGTCTTCCGTGAAAGATCAACTCGGAACCCTTGTTCTGCAACGATACCATCTTGCATGACGTAGACAAAGTCATCTGGTCGTATCTGTGAGAGATCATGGGTGATGACGACTGTGGTTCTATTCTTTCGCCATCGTTGAAGGCTGTCAAAGACCAAAACTCGGGAAGTTGCATCTAGAGCAGAAGTCGCTTCATCTGATTGAACGTCAGTTCAGTGTTTACAACTTCTGGCAAACTCACCTAGAATGAGAATGGTCGGATCCCGTATCTTGGCTCTTGCAATTGCCAATCGTTGTTTCTGACCTCCACTCAATTGTGATCCTCCAGTACCCAAGTTAGTCTCATAACCCTCCGGCAACGATGCAATGAAATCATGTATCATAGCCATCTTGCAAGCCTCCACGACTTCTTGCCGACTGACGTCCTGAGGTCTCCTCACAACGCTAGTCTTCGGATCTGGACCTGATCCAGCTACTCCCATGGCTACATTATCGTGTATGCTAAGGTCGAACAGAATACAGCCTTGTTGAACAGCAGCGATGTTCTCTTTGGTGAACCCTTCATCAAGGTATCGAAAATCCTGATCGTCCAGTGTGATTTCACCTCCGGAAGGTTGATAAAGTCGCAATAACAGTTGAGCGATCGTCGACTTACCTGATCCCGATCCTCCGACGATGAACGTGGTCTCACCTGGCGGGACGAACAATGTAACGTCCCTCAAAACTGGATTATCGGGTCTTGAAGGGTATGCGAAGGAAACATGACGAAAGTTGAATTCACCTCTACATCGTGGAGGTCGGATTCTGCGTAAGCTCGTCTGTCGTATCTTTTTGTGCATAGACCCTCGTTGAATGGGGAAAGTCGGTGATGTAGGTGAGGAAAGGGTGGATGTTGGTCGACTTGGAGAATCCTGAATCACGGTCAAAAGGGAGGCCATAGAATTTTTACCCCTGGTAATGTACGTGAGTTGAGGCACGACGTTTTGTAGATAACCAGCTCCGATGAGACAAGCCCAAAAGACGGTCATAACGTCCCCATTTGACACTTTATGTTCTTGCACAAGCTTTGCTCCATACCAAAAGCCTACCACAAAGGTGCTAAGTGACAAAAATCCGGTGGCTGAGAACATGAAACCCCATACGACAGCCAGACGGACCATACTGGTATTGGCTCGGTCAGCTATTTTGTTAAATCTGGCTGACTCGTGTCCTTGCGCATTGTGAGCTTTGACAGTAGCGATAGCATTGGTGGCTCTTTCGATATTGGTAGATGCTTCGGCTGTCGCGCGCCGTTCTCCAGCTAATACGGGGCCGACAACGGTTTGAACGATGATCTGGACGAGGACCAGGAGAGGGATGGTTGACAGCGTGACAAGGGTCAGGACTGGGGATTTTATCATGGCGAGTATGAAACAGAGAACGAAGACGGCCAAATTGGTCCATACAAGACCCATGGCCTGGGAGGTGGCAATGCGGACATCGTCCGTCTCTCTAAGTCGTGTCAGCGGAGGATCTAATGACAGAGTGAAGCGAACTCACTTGGTAAATTTGGACATCATCCCACCTGCACCGATGGTCTCTCCATTTGCAGCTGTTTCGGCAGTCTCATTTGTACCCATGCCAAGATCGAACCATTCCATACCCTTTCTCTGAACGCCGTCATACACGGCTCGTCGTAACCGCCCAACATGAGTTTCCCCATGTCGGACCCAGATAACCGTACGGAGATAATTCGTGATGACACCCACGATCCCGGCAACAGTCAACTTGATAGAGGTGTTGCTAACTCCGTGCAGCAATGCTGCGCGTTGAGCCGAAGTCCCACTTAAATCCAGGGGGTATGCTTCGAAAACGGCGAAAGCTTCTCCCACGACGAGTGACATGTATGGAGGCACCAGACCGGCAGCACACGCTATGATCAAGCCTGGAAAGAAGTTGATGATCCAGTCTCTGTGATCCGTAAGAGAGAAGAGAGTCACAAAAGTGGCTCTGACCGGAGTGGAAGGAGAAGATTTTGATGCACCAGACGGTGTGTCTGGGGGAATCATATCGGGATGTTGTTCGAGTATGGAGGCTTTTATGACAGGTCTGGGTGATGGAGGGTACAAAGATCTTCTAGCTTCGCTGATAGGTCGAGGAATGACTTCATGTAAATCGGCAGTATAACCGATGAGCTCTTCCTTTTCGTCTTGTAAAGGTGGTGAAAGGTTTGCGAACTTGTACCCAGGCATGGTCTTCTGCTTCCCACTAACTCCTCCACTTCCGTACCTCCCATGAGAGTATTCAAACGGATCTTCCAACATGACATCCACTTGTTCCTCCGTGATAGAGTACCTATCGTCGAATGGAGAGTCGATCAGAGCCTGAGGACGAGGACGTCGGGACAGTGGTGTGAGCTCGAGAGCTTCGTCACCTCGTGGGTAATGGGGAGGAGTAATATACGGGGAATGTTGGGTAGGGGGTGTATCGGGGATGGTGGTGTGGATAGCTTTATGAAGTGTAGAAGGCCTCGAGGCAGAGCGAGAGTGTGACGTCGTCTGCTTTTGCGGAGTGGAAGGTGTGTTCGTGCCGATCTGAGAAGTAGTAGTTGGGGTTGTGCTTCTTACAGTTGTCGGCGGAGTATATCTGGGAGCTGTCGTAGGAGAATGGGTGGACGGTGGTCGAGAGAGTGTTGGGGTGGGCAAGGAATCACTGTCAAGAGGAGATACATGTCGTTCGGATGAAGAGGGAACCGAAGATGAATGAGAAGAAGAAGCTTGAATGTTCATGTTGAAGCAAGGGTTTGATTGCATTCCTTTGACGATCAGATCAACATCAATTGGAAGGTCCTTCAACTCGTGTTGCTTCCTGGAATCTCGCTCTTATCGCTTTCACTGATTATTGAACAGCTTGGAAGGATGTGAGTGTGAGATGAAGCAGAGCAGAGTGATATGAGTAGTGATAAGAAAGATAACTTTTCTTTCAAAGATCTACATTCCACAACTAGTACTGCTTTCAAACCTCGAACATCCATCCGACCCCTGAACGTCAGTGTCTGGTTCCTGAACATTTGAGCCGACTTGTGTTTTGTACGGTCCAGCCTCGTGTGAGCAGTCTCCTATTGTGTTATTACCCATAGCGGGCGATGAGCCTTGTGTCATTGTCAATCAGACGAGGTGAACAAAAAGACAAAAAGGTTCTCGGTACCAGATTCAGGGACTCCGGAATCACCGGGTGGGTGTGTAAGTCACGTGACCTCCTTTCCTTAGCCACGTGGCAGAGCGAAGCTTTGGTTCGGCTGCTCGGGCCGAGACAGTTGCCGGTAACGGTGTTCTTGACATCAAGGACTCTCTGTTCAAGACGACGACAACGACGTTAACGGTACGACGAGTACTAGTAACGAAAAGATATTGCACATCATGAACTCGGGAGTGACTATTCAGGCGTTTACAGTTCACGGTGAGCTGACCCCTTCCCCCTTCCCCCTCTCTGTCCCTCGGTCCCCGTTTGCGCATCGGCCACCTGATCGATGAGTGGGAGCTGATTTGATCAGATGTTCGTTTCCCAACCGTGAGCAAAGTATCTTCGTGCTCAACACAGTTCAAGCTGATCGTACAGAATGTGACGGGAGATGGTACCGATGCAATGTAAGTTATATGATACCAAGTAGACTTCCAAGTTAACATGCAGGAATACCGAATGCGAATATTCAGCGGCCTATATAGAATTCACCACCTCTTCTTCTCTTCGAGGACAAGGAATGACCTTCAGTAAGCTGAGCTTCTCCCTCTGTTTCAGCTGACAAGTAGCCATTGGAAGGGGTAACGAAATTGTCTGTTACGCTATCGAACAGGTGGCAAAGCGAGTGGTGGGGATGGACATCGAGGGGATATTTGCCGATATGGGAACGTTTTGGAATTTCTGTCAGTGATCACAAATCTCTCTTCCCTCTCATGTATACCTGTTTTAGGATGTTCAGCGCTGATGTTTTAGTGGTCAGTGATCCTCAACATCGATGGCTAGGTCCGGAAAAGGGAGTGATACATCTCGCCACGGCTGCTATTTCCAATGCTATATGGGATATGTACGCCAAAGCGAGAGAAAAGCCGTTATGGAAGTTGATATGTGATTTTACCCCAGAAGAGTGAGTTTCACCACTCTTCCCCTTCCAACCTATTCATACATTCCATAATCCGTCGATGCCCTGCTTTCACCTCTTTATGAGTCAACCGACCCCGGGCGAGCCGATTCAACCAGGGGGGATCATCCAGGGATCCAATCTTTCTAAAAGAGCGAAGGATCTTGGTCCAGACAAGAAGATATGATGCGTGTCACGATTACGGCAAGTGTGGCCAACTAACCTGTGACAGATTCGTCAAATCAGTCTCGTGGAGATACATCACCGATGCTCTCACCCCTTCTGAAGCTCTGTCAATGCTGAAGGAGAAAGAATCGGGTAAGAAAGCTAGAGAACTTGATGTACTCGAACGTGGTTATCCGGCTTATACTACCAGTGTCGGGTGGTTAGGTGAGTTTTTCCTTCCTCTTGTACTTCTGTACTCCTCCAATTTCTCCAGTTCTTGTCTGTAGCACTGCTTGCATGAACTTCCATAGCTTCCTCTCTTTCCTCACACGTTTCGGAAACCTCTGAAGCTAGATTAGTCCCATGGAGTGCCAGGCGAGCGAGATGCGACTTAAGTTTCGGGCAAGAGCTGACTATAAGGATACTCAGACGAAAAAGTAGAACGTCTCACGAAAGAAGCCCTAGCTCAAGGGTTCAACCACTTTAAGGTAGGTTCCTCTTCCTCGTTCTCGCGCCATGGCTGATGCCCCAGCTCAAAGTCGGGTCAGACAGGGAAGACGATCTCCGACGTGGGATGTTGTTGAGGAGTATCATTGATGATCCTGCTAATATCCCCTCTGGAAGGGCGCCAGTGGACCCGAAGACTATAGAAGGAAAGAATGCCGGACCGACGGGCTGTGTTTTGATGGTTGATGCTAATCGTTCGTCGATTTCTGTATCATTCTTCGAAATCTTCACTTTTCCCCCGCTAGCAACCATTTTACATCTTTTGATACACATATGTGCTCGCTATTTTTCCTCTTCTCCTTTTTCACTTTGCTTACTACCTCACGGTATCTCTCTCTCTATGATCAATGCAATTGATCTCAACACCATCCTTCCTTCCTCCCAGCCGGTCACTCCTGATTGCTCAGAGTGCCATGTCTGGTGATTTCAACAGTGGGATACTCACGATGAATAAACTTGAGGCAAGACGGTGTATAGACGAAAATTACTGATCCAAAACAGAAGTATGGGACGTACCACAAGCTATAGATTATATGAGACATCTTCAACCTCTCAAACCATGGTTCATCGAGGAACCCACAGCTCCAGATGACGCAGTTGGACATTCCGTCATAAGAAAAGCTCTCCGACCATTAGGAATAGGAGTAGCTACCGGTGAACATGCTCATAATCGGGTGAGTCTGAGCGATCCATCTTCCTTTCTCATTCAAAGAGTCGGAGGGAAGAGGTAATGTATCTGTGTAAAAACACAAGGAATGAGATAGTGCAGACGTATAAGATCACAACGAAGCTAGTATAGATAAACAAGAAGTCAAGGATAGAGTTCGAATAATTAGTCAAGGAAGAATAGATAGTCAAGGAAAGGAAAAGATGTCAAGTGTAGATGATAAAGAAGTCGGAGAATGAGTGAATGTTGCTGTGTAGACGTGAACAAAGAGACAGAGAGTCAAGTGAAGGATTAAAATAATGAACTAACTTCAACAGATCATGTTCAAACAACTCCTTCAATTAAACGCTATAGACGTTTGTCAAATAGATTCATGTCGACTTGGAGGTGTAAACGAAGTTTTAGCTGTTTTATTATTATCTTCTAAATTTGATATACCTGTTTGTCCACATGCAGGAGGAGTAGGTTTATGTGAATATGTTGTGAGTTTATTTATTGTTTTCTATCTCTTATACAAAATCCTCACTTCTCCCCCCAAAAAAACCCCGGAAAGAACATAACATCAAGTGGAATCACCTAACATGTCGCTCTCATCTTCTCATCTTTCACATCGTATCTTCTCTTCCTCAACACCTCTCCCTTTCGAGTAGAGTAATGTCATATGGTACATAATGGATTTCGTCGGTAAATCCCCCCCTACAGCCTACATGTTGGTATCAGAGTCCTGCATCGTACCGATCTATGTATGTTAAGTGTGTCGTGTCAAAATATTGTAAAAGACTTATGAGTGAAAGTGGAAGAACGCTTATTTATTCAGATTCACCTAAGTTTGATAGATTATATTTCCGTTTCTGGTAAAATGGATAGAAACGTACTTGAATATGTAGAGTTAGTCGTTCCTCTTTTCGCTTCACTGCTTTGACAGGGAACTGATTAGGTTTTTAGTCATTTACATGAACATTTCAAATATCCAGTATCGATAAATTCAAATGGTAGATACAAGTCAGTTTAATTTTCTTTTACTTCACCCCTTCTCCATCATAGAAAACCGTCAATTGTATTCGACTTGTAATTTCACAGGTTGTATTTCAAAAATATCGTTCCGACTTGGAACCCTCAAACATCCAAGCTTTGTGGTCCGAAGTCACGGTGTTTCTGCGATTGGGCAGGATAACGTCGGGGGTCAGAAAGGAAGAAAAAAGGAGACGAGAAGCTATGAAGAATTGAAGCTGACTTGAAATAGCGTACCTACCGATCCTAAAGGTGGTTATTCGATAGAAATGTTTCCCCAATCTATGATGGATTACACCTTTCCTCATGGGACATACTGGGCTCAAGCTTTGAAAGGAGAATAAGTAGGTATGAAATAGTGGAACATAGTTCACGTGTATCAAGAAGTGATCTCGGAGTTATAAACATTCAAAATCGCGCAGGAAAATTAGTAGGATCAGTGGGTAAACATTACTCTATAAAAGAGACGAGGTTAGGTATTTTGGGGGATATATCATACAGGGGTATCATGAATCATTTCTCAAATATCTCCTTATCATCCACTTCCACTTCCAGGATTGTCCAACTGACCAGAGAAAATCAACTCGATAGCAGCTTCGACATTCCCACCTGTGCTCCGAAGTGCGCGGATATTCTTTTGAGCGTCCCATAATCCCTCTTCGTCAGCGATCTCACCTTGTCCACGGAAAGCGTCCACAGCGATCGGTCAACGAGATGCAGTATAAATCGAAAAAAGAATGCGTCGAGGAGTCAAGTGGGGTCAAGACGAGGTAACACTCACCATACCGTTCAACTGTCCCAATTGAGTAGCGTAGATCTCTTCAGGTGGTCTTGTATCCTGAGGAGCAGGGGGTACACCGCCAAACATGAATGGGTTCGGAGCTCCAGTTCCAGCTCCAGCACCTAACAACCCGGCCCAAGGATTCACTGCCCCTGCTGAAGGTTGTCCTGCCTGTCCTAGCGCACCACCACCAAATAGAGCTGCAAATGGGTTCGGTTGATTGGCACCTCCAGCTCCGGCCCCTGCTCCCAAACCTCCTAGTCCTCCTAATCCTCCAAGACCGCCCAGACCGCCTAATGCGGCGAAAGGATTTGCTGCTGCACCTGGAGCTGGTTGACCTGTTGTAGGTTGAGGAGCAAAAAGGTTTGGAAATTCGTCCGTGGGCGCATGGCCAGGTTGAGCGGCCGCTGGAGGTTGCTGAGGAGTTTGACCGAGCATTCCCCCTAGACCACCGAGACCACCAAGACCGGGCATTCCTCCGCCATTCTCCATAGCTGCGGACATTTGCATCATCTGGAAGTCAGTATCACCACGGACAGGATCTTCGACATCAGGTTGTGCAAACGAGAAAGTCAAGCGGAGTGTAGTCTGAAAGTCTGGATCAGGAGTGAAGCTGTGCGAGGAAGGAAAGAAGGACGGGGACTGACAGCGCGTAGGCTTTCGGGGTTAGACAACATCTCTCTGAAAAAAGGAGACTGCAGTGTAGCTCGTAATTGCGGTGCCATATGAGCCATCTCAGGATTGGCAGCTATCATCTAAACGTCAGCGCGATTCCTTATCATATGTATGTCTCTCAGCCGGTTCACAAGCGGATAGTCAAAGGTGATTGTTTGACGGTCAAAGGGAATAAAACCACATACTTGATCAACGACGCCAGGTTGTTGCAAACTTTCCGCCATATATCTCAGAAACTCAGGGTTGTTCATAAGTCCCGTCATCTGTCGTAAGCCGTCGACCGTACCCATCATCTCAAAAGAGGTGAACTTACGGCATTGGGATCATTGAGATTGTTAATGCCTTGCATCTCAGCAAAAGGGTTAAATCCACCTAAACCCTGTTTATAAGCTGACGTCTCACAACAATCCCTGGCCGATCCCACGACCATCTATTTCAAGGATGAGAGATGGACAGATCGTCGTGAATATTGGTAATCTTGCTGAGCCGGGCTCAAGTGGGTATTGCGTAGATGGGTTTGCAATGCCCAGACAGATCAAGTGGCGAGGAATGACATACGTGGTGGAATGACAGTTAAAATGAAGTATATCGTCACCCTGCAAGATAATTGAGATGGTGAGATGAATGAGAGTATGGAGAGGAAAAGTCTTCGATGAGAACAACTCACATGAGGAATATTAGCAACATTATCGATTGGATTATTTGCAGCTAAACCCGTTCCCATTTGAGGTAAGCGGGGAACTTGACTAGAAGAAGGTGGTTCTGGCGGTTTGTTGATTCTGAGAAGATGTAAAGTGTTTCCGGTCTTCAATTCTCAGCTTCTTTATCCTTCTTTTGATTCATCTATCTGTTCAAATGAGAAAAATCATGACTCACCGCCATTTTATAGGTCGTGAGAGGTTCTTCATCTTTCAGGATCTTGCCTTTTATGTAAGCTTTAGTTCTTTTCTCCTCGTCAATCACCATCTGGGGAGCATCCCAATGAAGACAAGCATCGCAAACGTCTCAGCTTTTCGAGAATGAAATGGGTGTACAGTTAAAACGGGGAGTGCGATATGAGGATGATTTGGTCTAGGAAGAGATAAACATCAACGTGGAGATTGAAATGTGAATTGATATAATCAGAGTGAACTGAAGAGGAGAGACTCACCAGAAAAGATGAGCTTTTGTTTATCCTTTGGTAAATCGCATTTCTCCGCAATGGCATCTTTCAATCTTCTACAGTCTTATCTGGTGAAATGGTGACGGTGACTTTTTGAGGTTTAACATTTGCGGGACATTTGACATTCCTATTTCCGATCACCCATACGTGCTCACGACCCACGGAAGAGAAGAAGATCAAACTGCCAGGTTAATCTCGGAAGTGGAAGATGTTTGTGAGGTAGGATCTGACATGTTGGATACAACGTAGAATGGATCGGAATTGAAGTGAGATGTAGTTTGTGGAAGAAGGGAAGGAGAGAGGTGGAGTAGTAGTGTGTGTGGGCGGGTGGGGGGGGGGGGGAGTGACCAAGAGACGATGACGAGTGGCGATCGGACGCACCAGCATCTTCCATCCCACTGTCCTCTGTCTTTCTTTCTTTTTACAGTAGACACTCTTTGGCGTCATACATGACTTCATGCATACTGTCAATGAGTGATACGAGTCTATCCATTATGCTACGAAGATCAGAGATTGATATATGCTTGAAGTTATGCATTGTGTCATGTTATGAAGTGAGGAAATGAACACTAAGAGTGATAGATATCCCCAAATACCGTCCGGATCCTCTGAGGACTCAAAACCACTTCTGATCCGTTACGTTGAGATAAGACTGTGGAAAAGTCATACGGTATGTATATCTATCCATGAGTGATTGAGGGGGTTTGACCTGTAAGACGAGATATGTAGATGGACGAGGTTTTTCTATGGTCTCAGCGTGTCACCCAATGTAGGATTCTCCCATTTACGATGTATCAATCGTTTGAAACATATAACCCTCCTTCCATCATTCCCATGAGTCATTTGGAGAGTACTCTACACTGACAACTGGTCTGGAAGATACGAGTGAATCTGAAAATGATACTACTGCTTGAAGACAGCGAAGAAAAAACCAGGGACACGAGAAGGAAGTTGGAGAGAAAACAATTAAAGAAACCCTGGTCCATAGCAAAGTGAGGAGAAATCATACGATGAACTCACTACTTCTCCCTAAAATCTGTCTGACCTCTACATCCTCTAATCTCAATTCTCTAGGTTGAGAAAACCTACTATTCCGAGGAAACATCAAATGACCAGCATGTTTCATCTTCAACAAAATCTCTTTTCTTCCTCCAGGATAAGTCCGACGGATCTGAGTGAGTCGAACGATTATACGTGTAGGTCCGAGGAGGAAAGCGAAAGAAAGGAGAAAAGGTGTTGTTCTGAGTCCATAGATGAATGAGGATTTTATGTAGGTTGTTACTTTGGAGTAGAATGATCCGGATCTGTATTTTAGTTTTTATTTCAAAAGTGGGCTCAATGTCTGAGTTTCAATGACTTCTCATGATAGTGACATTCGTTAGATATGGCATTGACTTGATTGAAGGAGATTATTTAGGTTTGGTAAGTTCGAATAAATCTGTTGAAGTTGCTGAGGTGATGAGGTGATGAGGTAATGAAAAGAGCACGAGAGGAAAATTGATAAAAAGTACAAAAGTAGGAAACTTCAAAGACTCACTCTTCTTCCTCAGAAAAAGAAATAGGTACAGTCAAACTCATACCCCCGAACAATAAACTGACTAAAGCAGCAACCAATAATAATTTAGGTGAAAGTTCGAAAGGTCTTGAGAAAATCAAACGTTCTTCTTCTAAAACATCCTTATCTTCGTATTTTGTTCCTCCTGATTCCTTATATGTGGTATTTCTTCGAGTTGAAGTTTGTCGTATTATTTTAATCGGTGGAGTTTGGCTCGTTCCATTATATTGAGGATGATTCGTTCCGACTACTTGAGGTTGGTTTGTTTCATTATGTCCAAGTTGGCCCATAGGACTCTGTCCGACGTGTTGAGATTGATCAGGATAACTCTTCCCCATTTGTCGAGCTGGGGTATGATCATTTGATATTCCAAGTGAGACAGGACGCCATGACCATTCATCTTCATTGAGCGGTTTGATGTTTTGTAAATCTGTCAAAGACCATTCGACCTCGTTCTCTGAATTGGATGGGGAAGCAGGGGAGGATTTGACCCTCCTCCGGGCCGAGGGGAGGGAAGTGAGATGTCGTATATGTGACTTGTGTTCATTTCGCAGACGTGATAATGGGCGATGACGAGGTCGAACGATCTGCAAAGATAGTGTTCGAACCGAGGGAAGGAGACGTGAGGGAAACATGCAAGTGAAAGATGATTATGTAGCGAAAGATGGTGATGAGGAGATGGGATGAAAGTCAAACTTTGTGGTTTCGATCCAAGTTTCAATAATGCGTGCATGAAATACTGAGATCACAATTCGTCATCTATCCTTCGTACTTTTTCTCCCACTTCTTTCGCCTCCCTCTCTTCTTCTTCCTTATCTCCCTCTTCATGCTCTTCTACGGATAATGCCCCAGTCACTGGTTCTGACTCAGATTCACGACCTTTCTCCCCGGCCAAATCATCCACACTTCCCGCCAACCCTGAACCACCTTGGATCCGGGCTGCAAGAGCAGCGATCTCTCGATCATATTCGTCCCATTCGGGGATCTGACGGGCTCTGACAAGCTTCGGTTCTTTCTTCTCTCGTTAGCTCTCTCAACACATGGGAGCAGAAGCTCACCGTAAGCGGGTTCTGACATAAATCGACTGATTGTCAGCCCGCACGTTCTCAACAACGCAGACATCTGCTAGTACTGTATCAGAGCGTACGACTTGAGAGTTCATGAGTCAGGCAACGAGATGAGAGTGTCAATGAACGAGGGAGCAGAAGAACAGTCAGACTGACTTGTTTTGGCTCGCGCAAGAGATTCATCGCTGCACCATGTTTGACACCATAACCAATCTTGGTCCAAGGTGTAAATAGGTATTTGATCCTGCATCGAGTTGGGTAGATCTTGATCTAAGTTGGCTAATGAATTAGGGTCAGCGGATAATGTATGATATTGACTTCGAAGACGGTCCTACTGATCAGCCATCTCTCCTGGTCAGCCAATGGGACATACTCCTGTTGCAAGCTACGCCGTCAGCACGATTCAATTGTAAGAAGACAGACTTACCTGTCGGAACCGTTTCAGATCAATGACGTAGAGAGCGCTGCGAGTCAGCACCGACAACAGAGACAAGTTCGAATGACCTACCTGATGTGGTAAGGTCTTCCTCGTAGGGCGTCCCTCCAATAACCTTTTTTCCAAAATCGGAACCCTTCCATTTCCTCCCGGTCATCACCCATAGGTGCATAGCCATACACACGGCCGTGTAGGTCCACATCGACGAGTTCTTTCATGTCTACTCGGACGATTTGGTCTAGACAGTCAGCTCCACTTCACACGACAGTATTCACTTTGTCAGCTGAGAGGCACAACTGCAGCCCTATGGGAGGCTTGACTGAAATGAAAGGAAGACCCGATCGCATCATGTGAGTGGGAGGTGGTCAGTGGGAGGTTGTGAGTGGGAGGTTGTGGGTGGGAGGTTGTGAGTGGGAGGTTGTGAGTGTGGGAGATGTGAGGGGTGAGGGCAGAGGGGGTGGACGAGCGGCCGTGATGGGAAGAGGAGAAAGTAGGCAAAACATGAGAGCGGAATGAATTTGAGAAACTGTTGCTTGAAAAAAGAACTCACCCGCATCAACAAAAATGACTTTGTCCAAATCCATGGGAAACAGTACATCCAAAAACAAAATCTTATAAGCCCAAATAATCCGTTGTTTTTCCGTTTGCTCTCGAAGCCAACTTGGCCATTTATACGTGACAAGTTCATACTGAAATTTATATTCTTCCGCTAGATGAGGTAAGAATTCTAGGAAAGTGGGAGAAAGGAAGTTTTCCTATTTATAAGTGTTCAACACGACAGAAATAGTTCCCCGAGAGGTCAAATGTATGGGTAAGAAATGAGATCTAAGGTACGGAAATGGACAGAAGGACTTACGATGAACCAGAATTTGACCGAACTTTGAGTATGTCTCATAACACTCAGAATCATGATGGATGCGAATCGCTATACGTCAACTTGGTCAAGAGGATGGGTTTGAGGCTATTCTCACTTCATATAAAAGCCCAGAAGCTACTGTGAAGATGTTGATATCTGCATGCCGGGTAGTTGGTTTGGTCTCTTCCGGTTTAATTCCCACGAGTTCTTTCATCCTGTCGTTAATGATTGACCCATGTTGATTCTCCCCCGAGTCGAGTCTGTCTGCCCTTCCACGAAAGTTTACGAGTGGCCTTGGTGATCCCGATCCATTCTTCAACAGTACGAAGCTTGGCATATTGGAAGTCAAAATGGATGAGTGTCAAACTCAGAGGTCAAGGGCTTAGGTCCTAAAATCCGGAAGCAGAGTAGACGGAACAGGTGTGGAAACCGGACAGAGAGATGAGGAATTGTTTTAGGCGAGGTGTGGGGAGGGGTAGGGAGATATTGAACAGGGGAGCGGCAACAGGAGAAAAGCTCACCTAGAAAACACAGCCTTGCCCATCGAATCAGGTTGGACAATCTCTGATTCCTGTAAAACATCCGCCTGTTCCATTCCCTTCTTCCTAACGAACCTCGGTAAAATCGTCATACCTTCAAAACTCGTCACTGTCACTCTTCTACCAGTCTCATTGACACTTTTACTATCCCATCCCTCATTTCCCACACTTTCCAACTCGTAAACTTCTTGTCCCCTTCCAGGTCTTATATCAAGATCGTAAACTCCAGGAGTAACTTTAAACTGAAGGTAACCGACGTTGATCATAACTAACGTGTCTGATACTTCTTTTTCATTTGCTATTAATTGTAATTGAAGACCACGAGGGGGAGTGTTGGTCGTTTCTCTAGCATGACCTTCAATGACCAATTGTTTCAGTTCGAATTGAACTGTAGTTGGATCGTGTAATGTTGAAAGTAAAATGTTATCTAGATCTACTGGAGATGTTTTGGGGGATACTATGAAAGATGGGGGAAGATCGAGTCCCAGGGTATAGATTGGAGAAGTGGGAAGATCTGTGAATGTTAATCCTGGAGCGATAGATTTTCTGTCAGATCAGCGCTTACACTCTCGATGTGTGAACTCACCCGTCAACGTCGAACAATGGATAAGGGGATAGAGATGATCGATAGAATCGTTTGAGCTTCAACTACCACATAAGCTGTGATACCATGAGTATAGATCAGAGGATATACATCGGTACTTGTGAGATCAGGCTCGAGATACACGCTGACTGCAACATGGTCCATCTGAGACAACATCTACTCGTCAGTCTGCTTGTTTTTGTAAGTCCAAAAGGACAGACCTTGAGTATGGGGGCGAATCTTTGCGCTGCCTCAGAAATAGGGTCCACAACAGCTGCTACATGTACAAGTGCAGTGTCTTTCCTACCCACCGAGAACGACCTGATCAAGAATCAGCATCTAGGTCAGGCACAACATTCATACTGATAACTCACATATCTCCATCGTCCAATTGTTCGTACCATTTTGACCGTGGCGCAGGGGCAGGGGTGAAAATCCCATCGCTACCAGGTGGGATATATGCCGCAGAGACGATACTTGTCATAGTGGCGATCATACCTGCCAGTGTAGTCCTGGTCATCAGCTAGAGAAGACGTTGGAGAGCGAGCTGACCTATCAAAGGAATTGATGTTCTCGTACATTGTAGCCACCAGAGCTACCACAGGTTGAACACGCTTGCGATATTCGAACGTCGCCAATGGTTGAAAGTCTGCTACACCAAAGCTCCTCGGTGTGATGGGACCCACCAGCTACCTAGTCAGCCAACCCCCCCAAAAAAGATGTGCCGAGGAAGGTGCCCCCAGATGAAACCGTAGCCACTCACCCGGCCATTGATGAGCAAATGAGGATGAGACGAGCGTATTTTCAACTCAGCCCCGATAGTCGAACCGACCTCCCAGAATCGCGCAGCTGCAATATCATCCGCAGCTGACCATCCGGACGAGGAGAAAGCGTGTAATGGAGTTCCTTCTTTCCATTCCACCGAGTCACCTTTCTCAAGTGATTGTATCACATCGAGAAGTTGCGAAGGTTGCACTTCGTTCAATATCGAAGACGACATGAGCTTGTATATCAGAGTCGATAGTCGGGCCCCGTTGGTGGCGGAGACGTCAGAAGGGACGTGGACGAATCCTATACGTGCGAGATTCGAGGGGAGTTGTAAGCTTTCCAACGCGTCCATTACTGTTCGTCGACCAGCTGAGGAGTCTAGATCCGCTATGATCCAGATGGTAATGGGTGCCTGATTGTAATCATCTTCGCCGTAAGCTATCCGCGCCAGTCGAAAAGACCACGCAGCTTACCCGCATAGACAAAGTTGGTGGTTAGGACATTCATGCTGTCGTGTTTGAAGACGTCCAGAAGATTGTGAGCCCTGAGCTTATTGTCAATCTGAGTAGGGACAATGAGCTTGTTTCTCCTTTTGGCAGTCATAGGTAGGTCGTAAAAGAAGTTGGCGACATCTTCCATAGGGACTTTATTGATGATCTACAATCAGCTCTTTTCCAGTCATGATGACGTACAGATTCTTGTAAGAAAGCCAATTGAGTTTGTATTTCACTTTGTACAGCCGTTGCCCAATGCTGCATGTCAGACTCAAGTTTATTCACTTGAAAAAGACTGACCCCGTTCAGTGGAATATGTTTGCCATTCAAGAACAGGTGTCCTGAAGGAGCATCTTCTTTGAGAGCAGCAACTCTTTCGGTGTAGGTCTGCAAAGCTTTGAATTGAGGATCGAATTCGTGAGATTCCAATACTTGCGAAAAGGGAAGTGATTCTTTGTCGCTCTGCATAGCTGCCCAGTTGTACACCCTCTCGACAACTTCCAAGCGCACAGTAGCTGGATTGGCAGGTGAACTGGGAGAAGCTTTGAGAATTTCGTTTAGCATATCACGAGTTACTCCACGGCCGAAAGTCTTGACGGCGTATAGAAAGACGCGTGCCATTTGCATTGCTTCGCCGTCAGATCTTATCTTTTCAGGCAGAATGAGAAGTACACTCACAGATATCCTCTTGTTCAGGCGACACCATAGGCACAATTCCGAATCTGACCGGCACACCTCTCTGAATCATCCCGCTTATACTGGCGGCGATGATATCCAAAGACGGGACAGACGCTAGGTCAAGCACGAAGACCAGATTGAAAGTGTTACGTCGGATGGAGTGAAATTGACCAGGGTAGAGAGGACGAAGATAACCTTGCATCTGTTTAGGCCAGGAGGAATATCTAACATAAGTCACAGATCAGAATAGATGATAGCTCACCTTTTGTCTCTCTCGATATTGTTCCACCACGTGATAGCTTTTCCACCTTCATCCCTGTCACTAGCATCTACCATACCCTCGGTCGGGTCATCGGAAGTTTGAGACTGACCGATGAGAGGATCTGCCAGTAATTCGAACGCTTGTTTGGGGGTAAGACCCAATGAGGACAATGAGAGAATGTGATGCCTTTCTGCGCGGATTGTATTGAGAAGGCTACTCATCAGTCTGAGGCATCACTATAGTAGGGAACTGACGAAAATGCGTTCATATCGGAGCTTTTGAAGTTGCGACCGTTGATGACGAGGGTAGGAGAGGCTGGACCACGAGTAAGTAGATGTTCACGTCTAGCAGCCAGATTCTGTGGGATGTCAATGTTTCGAGCGATGGCGGCGGAGTATTTGGGAAAGTCTTGAGAGAGATGGAGTAACGCGTCTAACTTGTCCTCTGAAGACATGATAAGGGCCGATGCTTGTAAGCCGAGGTCTGACAGTCAGCTGAGGGGCATCGAAAGACAAAGTAGCGGAAATTTTCCAAGCCACATGTCAAGAGAAGTATGCTCAAGATGGTAAGCCACCACTCACTTTGCACTTCAGACTTGGTCAACGGCTCTGCCCACTGATCCCAAGGATCATCACCCAAGATCTCGAACATTCTGCTATGGTTCGCGCTTGAAGTCCCTTGAGTCGACTTCGAATGAGCCTGTGTTTTGCCCCTAGACGTGCGATCGTCTACTACGAGATAATCCGTTTTCTTCAACACCATCTCCACACCGTACCCACTCAACTGGGTTTTAGGTCCTTCATGTCGATTCTTAGGGGGTGCGTACCTGACGACATAACGGAAAGAAGGATATTGTGAAGCGTGATGATCGAGGTAACCGAGTAAAGGAGATGAGGAGGGAGAGGAGGGATCAAAGTAGAATATAGCTTGAGACAGCCCAGTCGGAGCAGAGATGTGATCAAAAGGTAATAAAATCTCAGGAGTCTCGCTGTGGGTCAATCCTCTAAACATCTTGGAAAGCTACAGGAACAACTCTGGCCAGATGTAAGGATGTCAGTACGAGGAGGTTCGAAGTGAAGGCAGGACGAGGAACTTTGATGGATTGAAGGGGAGGCGGAAGAGGAGAGTTGTTGGACTGACATATGTATCGCCCCTTCTTCAATACTCAACTCCATATCTCTTCTCAGTGACTCAACGTCACAAAACCCCTTTCCCCTCCATTCCACCCAACTCCCACATTCCTCATCATTCATTCCATCCTTATCGACCCTCACAACCGGTCCTCCTTCACCTTCCGTATCACCTTTCTTCCTCGCATAGTTTGAGTCAGGATCCACGAAATGGTGATTGGTATCACTATGAGGGGCAGACCCTACCACATTGGCTTCATACCAAGTATAAAACGCTTCGATCTTGGGAGAAGCCGTATGGAGGGTGAGAGCCAGGTCGAACGTGCCCCAACTTGTTTCCGGTAAGAGATCATGGAAAAGGATCATTTCTTTGGCAGCAGAGAGGAGATCACGGTCGGACAGATCTGGCGGAAGGGAAGTGAGGTGACGAAGGAGGGGAAAGTAAGAAGAAGGGGATTCGTCGTAGATTGTTTCGCTGTATTATCAGCTTTGAGACATCAGGGGGAACGTAGTTGATTGATGACGAGGTTCAATTGGGATTCGGTATATTATGGAAAGACTGGATCAGAATGATATGGAAGGAGAGAGTTGTTGTCACGATTGTGAAGAGAAGGAGCGCATTGGTGATAGGGGAATAAGGGAGTGTGAGTGTCGGTGTACAGACGCAAGGAGAGTCCCGAGAGGAGGGTCTGAGGCAAGGTATGGTCAGGTAAGGAGAGAATTTCAGCTGGAACGGACCAACTCACAGAATCTCCAACACCAGAGGAGCCGCCGGCCAAGAAGCAGTCAATTGTATGCTCAAAGGCTGTGAAGACTGAGCCAAAGCAGACCCGACTAAGAGTACTGTCGACCACCACATATCGAATGATCTCTCCGGCGGCTACTTGTAGAGTGGCTTAGAGAAAGGCGATACGAGTAGAGAGAGTAGGTCGAGAGCATGGTGGATAGACGTCAGTGAGCAAGGTTCACCAAGTGGCGCGGGGCTCCGCATGCCGGGTCATAAGTCTTATTCTTAGCCTTAACTTTGTCTAAACGAGCAGATGGTGGGTATGTTCAGAGAGCAGGACAGTCTGAAGTATACTGATACATTGCTTATATACACACAGATGATTGAGAGATGAGAGATATACTTGACAATGTAAATTAATCGTACCCTTCCAAAGCCGCTTTAGCTTCTTCAGGTGAAATCTTTGAAACTTCTTTCCCTTCTTTTTCGAAATCTGTCATTTATCAGCTTACATTTGCCCATGATTTCTCATCCTCGTTATTTATTTCACATGGTCTACATCCTTCACCCCTCCTCATGACAAGATGAGGAGGTATGAAGGGGTCGACGGGTCTGAACAAGAAGATTCCCGAGTGCATAATACTGTGGATGAAATGATAAAAGACATGACTCACGTTCCCAAAAGTCTTTATGCTTGAATCCAGGCGCCTTGACGTATTCTTCCAGTTCTTCGATATATCTGTGAGTCAGTTCACATCTCTTTTATACTTCCGAAACCCATGAGTACCTATAAGTGTCAAAGCTGGAGACCGTCTTCAGCTTCTCGGGGCCTAAAGGGGGAAGGGGGGGGGGGGTGGATCCGTCAGGAATGATGACAGATAAACTAAGCCAGAAGTGTGAGCTAAGGTCGAAGAACTCAAACGTCTGATTTTATTCCGAACTCAACAAAACCTGGAGTATGAAATCCCACTCACTCATTATACGTATCCACCTCTTCATACGTCAAAGCTGTCTGTCTGATCGCTTTCAAACATTCCAAAGCTAGAGGGAAAGCTGATCTGGAGAAACTAGCCGTAACATTCTCCTTCACCACTTCACCTAAATCCTGAATAGCTTTCCTAAACACATCCCCTTCACCTTCTATGAGAGCGTTGAAATCTTCCAAAGGAGTTTGATTAGATACCAATCTGCCTTTCTTTGGTTGAGATCGGGGTGAAGGTTCTTGATTTTGACTTTCGTTATGCTTGGCTTTTAATTGGAGTGGAGATATAGGTTCGGGTTTAAGCTTTTGTGGGGTAGCAGGTTCGACTTTTGGTTTTTGAGAAAGAGATGGATCGTCGAATAATTCATCTATGTCGATACTATTTATCAGATTGATCATCTCCGAATAATTTTGCAGAGAATGGGAATCAAACACGAGAAAACAAAGCGATTGTATGTTATAAGAAGGAAAGAAACTCACTAGCCCTCTTCTTCCCTCAAACCTTCTTTCACTACCTTCTTACGTTGTCTAGGAGGAACCTTCTTCACCGCCAACACCTCTTTCAGCTTTGTAGTGATCTTGGCACTGGCATGTATGGGTTCTTCGGGTGGATCGAAATATTTCACCAATTCAGGATGAGGCGGACCTAATGGATCTTTCTCTAGATCTTGAGTCAAAGAAGCATGAAATATCGCTTCTTTGATTCGATGTATGGCGGGGTTGAAAGCTCGAGCCGGTTCGAACCACGGTACGACTTCAACATCCAAATCTGGTTTTTCGTCTCCTTCCTCTCCTGCATTCAATGTAGATGTTTTGGCAAGAGACCTTGCGTAGATGTCTAGATCCATGGATTGGACAAAGTCGTCCATCAGGTCGCACTGATCTTGAGTGGGGATGAGAGGATGTTCTGTGATGACTTTTCCGGAAGAAGTCTTGTAGTCTGTCAAAGAAGGAAACCAGAAATTGTGCTCGTCCTCTGCAAAGGGCAGCTGTATAGTGAGCGACCCATCTTTAGCGCCCGACTGGGATTGGAGAGACTGGCAATACGATATACACGAAGAATGTTTGAAGGATATAGGAAGTCATTGTGATAAACGAAAGTGCAGGAACTCAAATCATTACACTAACCTGACACCAGAACATGTAATCCAATCGTTTATCCTCCCCAGGATAATTAAACTCCGGTACACAAGCCCCGATGATCGGATCCGACTGGTCTTTCAATACCCATCTCACTACCGCACACATTTCTCGGAGATACATTCCCTCGACCAACGAAGAAAACTGCAGCTGTGCCTTGGGAGATGTCAAATCGGGCCATATGAACCTGACTTCTCCCATAAGCAAGTGTCTTTTGATCTTCCTCATCAGTTACATGACTTCTTTGACCGCATTTCTTAGCCGACTTACCGCTTCACGAGGAAAGAAGCCCAATATCTCCACACCCTTCGTAGTATTCAACGGCTCGAACGTATCTGCCTCCATGGGTACCCATGTGGAACCGAACTTCCAAGCTTTGACAATATCTTCCTTCGCTACCATCTCCTCTTCGTGTCCATCTTCTAGCTGTGCCACATCCCCCTCTCCTTGAGCTCTCGTTTCATGACTGGGTTGCACTTGAGTACCGGCTGGTGGCTCTTGCCGTTTGACCACATACGTACTATGCGCTTTCACATCGGCCGAGATCATACCTGCCAACTCGGTAGGGTCAATTTTACTACCCTGTGACGCTTGAAAACTCGATACTAGCTGGCTCGGACCACTTTGATAGACGTTATTGTACATGGGCACTTGAAGGTCCATGGCGGGTTTCCAAGCTTTTGATAAACTGGGAGGTCGGGCTTTCATTGTCGCTTTGGAGTATTTGATCGGTATGATGATTGCCTGTTCCGGATCCACATCGGGAGACCCTATTTTGAGATCGATGGGAGAAACAGCACTGTTCACTGTGGTGGGTCTGGGCATACGAGCTTCGGCCAGAGCTTCTTCGAATAAACCGATTGTGGGGAGGATCTCTTCGGAAGAAGTTGTGGAGGAGATACGTTCGTGCAATTTTTCAATGAAAATGCGCCAGAATTTCTCGGACAATCGCTGGCATGTCAGAAGATGACAAGAGCCTCGCAAAGAGGTGAATATACCTTGGCGCGGGACTTTGTCTTGTCCACTGGCGACGTGAGAGGGTCAAAGCCGATACCCCTGTAGGGTAAGTCACAATATGATTACAAGGGAAAGACGGACAGCACATTCAATTGAACTCCCATATCGTCAAATCGGTCCATGGCATCCTCATACTCGCCTTGATCAAAGTTACTCTCGCCTGACAATTAGCACATAATTTACAGTAATTGATAGACTGCTCACCATCCGTAATGAGGATGACCTCGAGAGCCCAACTTTTGGTGTGTTTGTGAACTTGTATCATGTCGAGTGCGACCATGAGTGCGGAAATAGCTATGTCGTCAGCCCATACACGCTCCATGTTGGACTCGAATGGGCAACACATAGAGTCGCGGCGAGATAAGTGCTGTAGTCTATTGGTGAAAGAAGCTTCCCGCGGGACCGAGAGTGAGAAATGAAAAGAGGATTTGTGACGACAAGTAGAGATATTGGGAGATGAAATTGGAACACCCACGATTCCCCTCGTGCTCTCCCACTTCCACATTCATCACCGTCTCCACAATCTTAGGTCTAGCAGTCTGTATAGCGACATCACAAGCTACGTGAGCATACATTGGATCGTCATCTTCTGGATTCTTGGCCGTGTAGTCGTTATGTGCTTGATTGTTCGTTTCTATCTCGTCAAACTGCAAATTTCTCCACTGTAGCCGCAAAACTTACTACCACCGAATGACAATAATCCAACTGCTTCTGTTTTGCGCCCGCTGGAGATCTAGATGATTCAGTCTTGTACTTGATCCACTTTACCTGCTCCTCCAGCAGAGCTTCCACCTTCGCTGAGGTTCAAACTGAAGAGATGAGACGAAGTGTCAATGGAGCGGTATTGGTTTGATGAGAAGGAGTAAACATACCCGGGGATAGAATAGAAGAGAATATTCAGGTAGATGGAAAGGGGACAGGATGGAGAGTGTAGCTAGAGCGTATCTTCACTCACCTTGGGCACACACCTTCTAGCCACATATTCCTGCGCCAGAGCCAACTTGGTCGTCTTCTTGAAACTCTCCGGATCCACCACCTCTCCCCCCATGGATGGCGACACATCGATTGCGAAGAGGGACAATGTGTATCCAGCTCTGTCAGCTGGCATGGCTATTTGACGTGTAGAATGACCATCTAGAGATTAAGTTGGTACACTTAGCTTTCAGTGAAAGTAGTCCTTAGTTAACGGGTTGACTGGACGTGACGGAGATTCGACGAATGTCCGCTGTCCGCTGTACCGCTGTCCGCTCCGTGGCGGCGGGGTTGAACGGAGTTCATCTATTGGTCTCCAGATCTCCAGGTCTTCTTCACTTTTCTCACCCAATTCTCCGACTTTTTCCCAAATATACATATATATTACCACTCCTTGGCCCAGTGTCAACATCATTCCAACCCGTTTGACCAACTACTTACTTATCCCTAAGAAAAGTCTCATCGAAACATGTCTACCGTAGATCCTTCGGAACAGAGTGCATCGGTCGTACACGACATTCTCGACGAATATCTTGATGATGCTCGTCTTTATCCCGCCTTGAACATTCCTTAATATGTACCAAGGATAACAATAATGATGGTTATGATTCAACCATGTTGTACATCCTTCCTGAACTCTTGAATTGTCTATCAGACTCTCGTCTCATTAATCACATTGTGGCAACTGTTCCTAAAATTCTGTCCAAAATGGTTTCTACCAGCAACGAGAACACTTGGGAATCAGTGGTCAAACAAACATTGGAAAACACCTGCTTGCAGCTTCCAGATGACCATTGGCTTGTGGTGATCATCAACAAGGGAGATCTTACTAAAATTGATGAAATCCGTAAGACTTTCAATGATGACACAACTCAATCAATGGGGTTTATAGGGAAACTCACATCAGAAAATCACATGTGGGACAATCGAAATCCGCTGAATAGGATCGATTCAGGTGATGGTGAGATGGAAGATAACAGAAAGACAACAAATCGATTCATGAGGAAAATGATAGAATCTATTTCTGAAAGTTGCTCCACTTGTCTTGATGAAGAAGATAATGGTTGGGGAACAGTAGTAACCAGTAGTATACTACCTTCGGCCCTCAAATTCACCGTCTCTCGTCTTGCGCCACGGAAGTTCAAACAAGAATTCATTGAACGTATCATCAAGAAAGAACCCCATGACGACCCGTTATTATTCTCACAATTTCCCCAGATCATTGCACTGAAAGAGGTATCGCGGCCCATGCAGTGATCGCAGTGAGTCGGAATGGAAGACTAAGCTTAGAATGAACTAGATAGGCGTGGTATGAGTAGTGTGGAGTTGTGTCATAATGAGTGGTAGAGCTAGCTATACCCGTGAGTACATTAAGGAATACATGCTATGAGTATGATCATTGCGACGGTGTGCTGAATTACTACTACTCTAAGCCAGAATCGACTACTTACAGAGTTTGAAAACCCATGTCCCACTCGGTTCAAATTCTCCCCACGATTACATGTCTCCCTTGAACATCTCTTTCAAACTTTCAACAGCCTCTTTCTCATCGGTTCCCGGTTCCCCGGCGTCTCGGACCCTTCACGTTCACTCTCCATTTTGTCTTTAAACCCCTTCTTTGGGTTTCACCAACATCTCCGACCACGCTGACTGCTTATATACACCCCGTTCGGTCCATTTGAGACGTGAAAGAAGAAACTAGGTTTACTCAAAAACTCGAAATCCCAACCAAATCGAATTTGTCGACATGCCTTTCGGACCTCTCTATAGCCTATCACGCGGATACTTTCCCTGGTTGAACCTCAGATATGGATCTGACCGAGTTAGTAGACATGTGAACCCCAGCTCACAAGAGGTAGTGAATATGCGGAGGATGGTGGTGGAATGGAAAAAGGAAGGTTATCTTTCTTCCGCTTTGTTTGTCTTACCCAACTATGAACAAGATTTGAGGGATTCAGGTTGTCTGCCATTTATAACGCAGACAGTTCATACAGGCTTGTCAGCCATGGCGTTGAAAGACAATCCACATGATTGGAAGAAAGTTTTGAACACCACGATGGAGACATTATCTGGGGGTCCCGTCCGGACGCGGACGGACGCATCAGCCAAAATTTGCCACCGCGCGGACTGGGTCCGTCCGGCCAAAACTGCCACTTTGGGCAACTGTCCCGCACCTCAGAGATTGAATCCTAATGCATCCCCTTGCAATTCCTAATGCCATTAGCAAGGCTATGTCGTATAACTGCAGTTATACATGTAAACACAGCCAATTATACTTCAGTTATACGACATGGGTTTCCTAATGGATTAGTAGTCATATCATTGCCAAAAGTTTTGCATCTTAACTATTGTCATCATCTTACCACTCACCGTTGTTCTTGTTGTTTTATCAAGTCTTTTGTAACAATCAATATGCCTCGTCATCCCAAACAGAACCCTAACACACTAAGGAACGTTCCTTATGTTGCTCCTCAAGCAAGGAACGCTGTTGATGAGACCGTGTCACTGCAACAGTATAAACACAAGGAAAATACGATTAAACAGTACAAAAGCCGTCAAAAAAAGTGGTTCAAATGGGTTGCGAGCAAGCCTTGGCTAACTGAGTAAGTCAAAGATTTAGTCCTGCCAACTTCTGCCAACTTCTGCCAACTTTTGCCAATTACAGCCGTCGTTGTCAAGGTACAGCACGCTCAAGCTTGATGTCCAAAGGAACGGCACATGAGGCCCATCAAAAGCCATGTGCTGATGATTAGAGCAACAGTTACCCCGCAATTGGCCCTTTTATTTCTATATGAAGTGGTTCTTGTGTCTAAAACACATAAACAGTCAAAAGTGGTCGATTCTACAGGTGAAAATGAGTTACCACTTGAAGATGACGACGTCGAGGCAATAGACACGGCGTCTGGCGATGAGACCATTGAGTGGGCAACGGATGAAGATCAACTCATTCTCAATGAGGCACAAGTTGATCTTGATCAACTCCTGCTGTCTACCGCTGGTCCGTCTTCAAGAGAACATAGTGGGCCTAAATCTGGTATTTATTATCATTTGTTGTCTAAATCAGTGCTAACTATACAAGGTCTATCCATCATTCTCGAATGTCAAGTCACCGGGGCGACAGTACACGCATGGGTAGCTGCTTTAGTCAATCTTTGGGAGCAACAGGTAGAAAGGGGTATCAATAGCTGGAGCTCGCCTAGAAGCGTGCATACAGCTACAATTATTTCGGTATTACAAAAATTTAATGAGCGTAGAAAGAAATTACTTCACGAGGACAAAGGAAAACGTGAGTGTACGTTTATTGTTTTGATTTAACAGACAGAACTTTATTACGACGGATATGATAACGTAGGACAATTAGAACAATCATTTGCACATTACATGGAAAGAAATAACGAAGAGGGACTGAGAGACGCTCTTGCGCAAGCTACTGGGATCTTTGGTATGCTCCGTGGCGATAATCAACGCAGGCTTTTGTTATCCGACTTGTCTTCCGAGATAGCAACAAATGAAGGCCCCTCCCCCTGTCTTTTTATTATTATGGTATTACATTCATCTAAGACAAACGCTTCTGGAAAGCCTCAGTATGCAGCTTTCATGCGCAACAAGAATCCTCAAATATGTCCTGTATTTCTGCTGGCGTTGTATTTGTTTGCTCGGTGCGTTTAAATCACGGTATAAGATGTTTGCTTTACTAATCACCAGTTTATATTGTGGGCCGTCTCCAAGTGGCTTTCCAGATATGTCAACACGAGCAGATTGGTACGATATTCCACTTTTAAGCGATGCTAGAGACAGATCTAAGGAGATCTCATACGACACACAGCGACGAGCGATAAATGGAGCCTTACAAGCCGCAAATGTTCATACTTATCAGAAAACACATGTCAATAGGCGAATGGGTGCTAGATTAGCGGAACAGGGTGGCGCCTCCCCAGATGAAATTGCTCGAGCAGGACATTGGGCTCATTCGGTCTTAGAAATACACTATCTTACGCATGTTCCTCGACGAACGTTACGAGCTCATGCAGGTTTTCCTATTGAAGGGAATGGTTTCTTCCTACCGCGGGCAGTTACACCTCCTTCTACCCTACTGAAGAAAATCTTTCCAGAAGCTGAGAAATGGTATGTTTCTTTAATGATCTTTCAGTAATTTAAAAGACTAACACTTTCAGGCTGTCTTTGATGAACGCTGCCGGTCGTTCGCATGAAGAGCTTACAGGTCGTATGTTTCTGCAGACTATAATGTCTTTACGAGAAGTATTTCTACAAGATGTTCCTCATTTACGAAAAGCATATCCATCGCTATACATCTTTAATCATCCTCTGTTTGCCGACGAAGAATACCTACGTTATGAAGGACATGCGTTGACTCGTACCATCACGAATGAAAAGCAGTATGATGATCGAATTGCTCAAGCTCTTCCCATTTTGCACGATCTTTTACAAACTCAAACACGAGCTCAGCAACAATCGTTTCAAGACATCCTTGGAAACGTTCTTCAACTCAGTCAAGGACAAATGGAGCAACGAGAGCAGATGAAGGCGGTATCCGATGGGGTCATGTTAATACAAACGGCTTTAAACCGACCTCTGATCATTCCTGGCCCTTTACAAGCTCTACTAGCTGAAATTTCTAGTGGAAGCTCTCAACCGTTAAACATCAGTGACAATCACTTGGTCCCGTCTACATCTTCCGGCTTTGAAGCTATACCAATCGCATCGTCTTCCTCTTCATCCGTTACACTCCAAACAACCAGCGATGTTTCTTTGCCGTATCTGCAAGACCCTTTGCAGACAACCATTCTTACTCCATTTACAATGAATCGTACCGTCTGCACTGTTCAAGAATTATGGCAAGAGTATACATTAGGTATTAATGGTCGACCTTCCATAAAAAGTCAGTACGAAAGCAGCTCTGATGGTCTAAAGCAAGCCAGTGAAACGGAGAAACGATTTTATCGAAGGCGTATGAACATTATCCGTGCAGTTAAAGACTTAGCAAGTGCCCGAGAAGTCAATGGAAAGGAAGCAGCCCAGTTATGGGATAAACATAGACAAAGTTTACAAAACCCGTCACTAGATGCTTTACAGAACTGGTTGAACAAAGCATCTTCAATAGATAGACTTTCTATTTAATTGTTGTCATATGTATGTATCATTGACCTACTTTCCGTTGATTCTTGCTAACTTCTGCCAATTGTTGCCAACTATTGCCAACTATTGCCAACTTTTTTCGTATATTAGAGGTATGAAAGACAGGCGTAGTAAGACACCCAAAGGAGGGTTTAAAGATTTTCCTTAGCAACAACCTGCAGGAATCAGTTTCTCGGTTTCATAACCATGTACGATATTGTTGGCTTGTGCGTAATTGAAACAGTGTGAGACAGAGTACGTTATTACCGGTTCCCATCAGTTCGGGTGAGTAATTTCTGCTGATTGGTCACTGTCTCAGTATGAAACGTGAATTATTGAGCTGTTGTCAAGGGTAGACGTCTGTTGTCAAGGGTAGACGTCCTTTCGTTGTGAGGCTCTTAGCAAGATGAATTTTTTTCGCTGTCACATATACAAGGGTACCTCTTACAGTTCTTTCCCACATCTTGCAAGTTTGTTAGCCGTTACATTGTTAAATTTTGAATATTGATTAAGATGTCTAATTCAGCGAATCCTTTTACACCAAATCAACAATCTATGCTTCAAGGCTCACGTCGTGGTGCCCGACCTGGTTCTGTGCCTCTTGGAAATGCCTCGGGGTCTGGCGTTGGAGCAGATTTGGTTCGTTCTGTTGGCTTACAAGTGGCTCCTACAATTTCTGGTTAGTTTGATCATTTTCGTTAGCAAAAGGTTGAGTAAATGCAGGATCCAACTCTCAGTACTCTTGGGCGTCTGGTGCTTCCTTCAATTTGCGGTATTGGCCCGAAGCAGTGAATTCTTCGATTGAGAAAGTTCCTGCGGCACGTAAGGGAGCGAAACTGGCTCCTATTGCTGGTGAATCTTCGAAAGTTAGTCTTTTTCTCTTAATAGTGTTGTTTTTAACAGAGTTAGCTTAAATCATATCGTGAAGCATACAATCGTGTAGTTTCGAACAACAGTTGGCTCAGAATCAATGAATACCAGTGTAATCAGTGTAAAGGACGTAATGACCACAGTAATACGTGTGCTTTTGGGTGTATTACCCTTGGACAGATCCCAACAGGCGCTTGCGCCGAATGTATCGCTATGGGGACAAGCAATCGGTGTGAGTTTGTGAAAAAGGCAGAAGAAGACTTAGATGATCGTACTTTGTTCACGAGTTTGAGAGAAGAACTTGGAATTGTAAAGGGCCTCGAACAACAGGTAGAATTGGCTGGTGAGTACTTAATTATCTTTTATTTAGTTAGAGCTAACAAGGTAGTAAAACATAACTATACTTTGCCTGAAATCGGTTTGTTGTCACAAGTACAAGGTATTCGTGAACGTTTGTCTACTTTGATTGCAACCTACTCGCCTGATATGGCTCCCGAAGACGCTACCGCGAACGATACTCCTCGCAAACGTAAACGTGCAGGTAAGAACGTAGGATCTAGTAACACTGAGTAGTAAAGGTCAGTAGGATGTGTATGCAGTCTATAGCGAACACGAAGTAGCAAGCGATGAAGTCGCGATCGGTGGCCGCATGAGTCACAATTTCGCTGCATTCGGTTATCGACATGATACCCGGACGGGACCGACCCCCGTCCGGACTGACTCAGGGTTCATGTCGTATAACAATTCATTATCTGATCTAATTCCCCTCGACCATGACGTGGTCGTTATTCGTTCTATAGTCACTGATACCAGACCGGAAGAACTCAGCATCCACTACAACAGTCTCGATCCTGATGTGATACAACAGATGAGTTTTCAAGGTCAGTACTACGAGGATACCAGGGTATGGGGCGTTACACAAAACGTTCATGAAAAGTTGAGAGATATCATTGAACAAATCGCAAATACCTACGTCGGCGCCGCGATCATTTCATCTCCAAGTACCATTCACGTAGAAAGTACAATCATCACTGCTGGACATTCGGAGAGAGCTGTCCTATTCACCCTGCAACGACTCCCTGAGGCAAAGTATTCGATTGGCGGGGATGAGGATGTCGAGATGGGTTAGGTGGATGTCACAAGTGTACCAGAATTGAACTCGCCATCAACTCAGATGAACCCTCCTCCAAACACGAAGAAGGAGAGCAAACATACAGAATCCAAATCCGACGCTACACGAATGACTATACGCTACGATGTTGATCAGTCACACCCGGGAGGCAGCTTAGGTGAGCTTTAGTTTTAGTGGAATGAGTTAAGTGATGCACCCATAACAGTTGTTCATCTTCAAATCGTGCGACTACTAATTGACCAACTTACTTTGTTCATATCAGCATGACATTCATAAACCTATCCCTCACTTCGTACTCAGTTATACAGTCAAACCTCCTTTCTTCCGTCACGATAGACGACGACCCTCACCACCCCCCTTGACCTCCTTGTCCGCCTTGTCCTTGACCCCAACCGCCCGGAGGTCCACCATATCCCTGTTGAGGACCCCACTGCCCTGGCGGAGGACCGTACTGACCTGGTGGAGGTCCATATTGCATTGGCTGACCATATTGGTCGTACCCCATCGGAGGCGGGTATGCCGCTTGGTTCTGCCCTGGATAACCTTCTTGTTCATGCTGATGATGAGGGTGGTGTTCGTGAGAGTGATGTTGGTGATGGTGAGGATGAGGCGAGGGTCTCGATTCGTATTGCCCGTACGAGGGTTGAGGCGATTGCGATGGTGGTTGGTACTGATTGTACCGTTGTTGTTCGAACCCCGGTTGAGGAGAAGAGTATTGGGGACCGGGTTCGTAGTTTGGTTGAGGAGTGAAAGAAGGTTGAGCAGGGTAGGGAGATTGTCCCTGAGGTTCGGGGGCATTGGGATCGAATTCTCTGAAACGGCCGGGACCACCAGCACCGAAGCCTGGTTGCCAGGGCTGTTCATCAGTCTCGACACGACTGACAATCAATGACTGACCAATTTGCCACCCAAAAGATCTTGACCAGCGTTGAGAACCTGGGCACCGGGCTGCATATTAGCATGATACCCTTTGACTGTCACGCCAAGGTATAACGAAGACATGCGGAGAAGATGAATAAGATTCTACTCACCACATGTACATTATGTTGCGCCAACACAGCCTGTAACCCACCCTCCGGCAGTAAAGAGTTATGAACGTGACCTGTGTTTTCGCTGGTATCTCCAATACGCCTGTTCTTTCCCGCTCTAACATTATCAGAGGTCAACCGATTCAACACTTCGTGCTTGTCTTTCCCCCTGGTGTCTATCCACGTTCGGAGAGTATCCAACATCATGCGCTGAATTTGAGACCTGCCGTCGAAAAAGTCTGGGTGGAAGAGACATTCGAGGACAGGCTCGGTGACTTGTTCGGTGGGCATGTTGGGATTGTCCCAGGCTTTTACCACCAGATTGACCGAGTATTCGACAATCACCGAGGCGATTTTCCCAGCGGGCTCGTTCAGGAGTAGCGCAAAATGATCCTTGAGTATCAGTATCATAATAAGTCCCATGTTGTGAAGCTCGTAAAAACATGTGCGAGATTGGGATGATCAGTGCAGATAAGGAAAAAGAAGAACAGGAGGGAGGGCGAGAAAAGAGACATACTTTGGACAAGAAGGAGTGCGTCGGGTCAGAAGCGTTGAAGTCATTCCATACCTCATACTGATCATGAGAGTCGATGACTGCCTGAGAGCTTGTACCCAGAGCCGACGTGGCGGTACCCAGCAGCGGCTTGACAAATGGCTCAATGGTGGTGAGAATAAAGACTGAAACTGAATTGGAAATCTTCTCGACCAAGGGGCCCAGACTGGTATCCTGTCGATAGTATTCTACTTGTTAGAATTGTCTACAGCATATGACGCGACTCACCTCGATCTTCTTCATTACGGAATCACGAAATGCCAGGACTTGCCAAAGCACACGATGTAGATCTTGAGGGCTCATCGTACTGGGATCCACTCCGCCAGGCTGACCAGCACGCATACTCTGCACGTCTTCCATCTCACGAGTGAGACCTTCGCCATCACCACCGGGAAGAGAGAAAAAGAGTTGTCGGAGGGTATCGGACGAGGCACTTTGACCATCTGAGATGGAACGAGCACTGGTCATGCGCTGAGAGAGGTCAGACACAGAGGCCTGAGTATCAGCACTCATCCCACAAGAACTCGGTTCTGTTCCACTCACTTCGCTGAGATGATCGGTGGTCTCACCAAGCAGAGAATGGATAAAGTCGGCTCCACCGAAAGTACCAGTGACCAATGGGTGGACCGGACGTCCCTGTGGAGATCGGACTGTGACATTACGACCGACATGCGGGAAGACTTGTTGATGACCCAATGATATGAGTCCTAAAAGTCAGCTCCCACTAGACCCGAGGAGGCCAACAGAGAGCTCACCCAGCTCGCAAAAGTTTGAATGGGCAGGGAAATCTTCTCTGACTGAATTAGCGACTTAAGAAGATTCCACTTTGCAGCTTACAGAGTGTGGAGAGCTTGTCCTAGAAGTCGGAAAGCTTCATAGGCGTCCTTCTTATCATCTGTAACCCTAAATTGGCGACCATAATGGATACACTGTTGCAACACTCTGCGCACGAGACTTTTCGACGTATCCCAGGCATTCCCCTCTTCGCCATCAGCTTCGGTCAACGTCTAGAAGAGAAGCTCTACCATTGGCAATGTAATTCTTCATACCCGTCCTTGGATCAATCTCCAGTTCTCTTGGGTCAACAGGAGGTCGGAGTCTGTCGTCATACTGCCTTGCGTCTTCTCCATCCGCATAGCCCTTGGGATTGTCGATATGTTCCGTAGGCAGGTAACAGCCAAGCCTTTCCTTGGTCACCTCAAACTCTGCTGTGACGTAGCCATGAGCTAGAAAGCCGAGGACTAGGCAGACGTTGAGGATAGTTTGGATATTGGTCTTTTTCAGTGCTCCGACATCGACCGCCTGGGAGTAATCTTGCACATCAGTTTCATTCTTATTTTTGTGTACATTTGAGACAAACCTCTGAGCCAGTTCCCAAAGTACACCCGTTTGACATCCAAGGGCGAGAACTTGGTACCTCTCGATAAGAATCCACCAGCGGCGGTTTTGAAGCTTCACAGGTCAGCTGTTGATTCGTGCACGAGTGGTGATCAGCTAGCGGGTTGAGCAAGTAATCTATGGGAAGTGCCTGGGAGAGGGTTGCGCCTCACAGCTTGGCAATGACGTCTTCAATGTCACCATGACGATAGGCTTTTTCTTCCAAATACGAGTATGAAGGAATGTTACCTGCAAAGATCAGTGGCAAAACAGGAGGCGAGAGTGATCACTGACCTGCTCCAAAGGCGTGGACGGTGGGGAGCAAGGTAAGAGCGGCTAGGGAGACAACGACGAGAACAAGTCCGAGTCGCGCCATATTCTCAAGAACTATGCAAGTAGTAGGGGCGAAGTAGATTAGCGAGTGGCGAGTGGCGAGAACAGTCAAAGTGTCAGTCAAGCTGTGTGAAGTTGAAACGAATGGAAACCTGATGGAGGAGGGTTCAACCATCAAGCACAGCTCGGATTTCTTGGCAAGGATCTCTCCACGTGAGAGCCATGCTTACACCACGTGTCTCTCCACTATCTGATCCCCTCATTCAGTCCACCTCTGAAACGTGTCACGTGTTTCAAGTCTGAGCGTCAACACGGCGTTGACACACAACCAACTGGGAACTTGGTTATGCTTCTTTCTATTCTTTGATCCCACTGCATATATATACCCACGCACCTCCCTCGTCACTCTGCATACAGGAGGTTGTCTGGGCTAGGACTACGAGAGGAAGGCTGTCAGAGAGATCATATGTCAAAGGATTTGACTGGGTGCTCAACAACGGTCAGCTTCCTCCTTTGCTTCTCAACATCCAAAGCTCGGACCACTCGGCGCTCGCGGTCTCTATCAACCCTCTTTCGTCTTCAGCGATACAAGTCAGATTACTTACTTCAGTGAACATTGTCACTTGGACACGTTGAGACCATCAAAAGTCAACAACTACATGCATCGGTAACACGTGAGTGAGCTGCTGGGTTCCATGTCAGGCCAGGCTGAACCCATCAGATTATTAATCACCCGCCACCATGAGCGTCCTCGGAGGTATGCCGCGGACACGGTCTCGTCCAAACCTCAAAGCTCCTCCTCCTGTACCTCCTCGCACGACCAACGGCGATATGACAGCCTTCGCCCTTCGGCAACACTTGCAAACTCTCCTAGAGCAGAAATCCTCCCAGCTCCAGGTTCTGGGTACAATGGGTCAGGAGGTTTTGAAACAGCAACAGGAGCTTGAGGAAAGAATCAAAGATTTTGATAAGACCGGAACGGATGACGACGAAGAGCTAGATGAGGAAGCAAAGATGAAATTACAACAACTGGACCAAGCCATGATCTCGTGGGAAAGTCAGAACGAAGGTATGATGAGAGGTTTGACGAGCAAGGTGAGTTCTCATGGGGATTGCTGGATGTGAGCTAACTCGACAGGGAGCTGATATGGCATTATCAGCTGTCTTGCCAGACTCACAAGGCGAGTCTGCAGCTCTGGGCAGTTCACTATCGAGAAGACAACGCAACGCCCAACATCGAGCACTCGATATGGAGTTTGCAACGGAAATCGGACAAAATCTACTGGTGGAAGTGCGTCGTCTGCAAGCTCTCCTCAGTGAGAGAGATCGTGCCATTGAGCGATTCGGAGAAGAGAAAGATTCATGGGAAGCCGAGCGAGAAGGACTACTCGCGGCAGTCCGGACCGCAGAGCTGAACGTCGGTGAGTACTGAATTTGTCGTCAGAATACAAACTGATTATAGATCGATACAAGGAAGACAACTGGAATCTTGAAGTCAACTTACAAGAACTTCGTGCCGCTCAGAATGAGATGAACGAGCAGCTCACAAAGACTGTCGCAGAACAAACTCGCTTGTCAAGATTCCTCACGACTGCAAGAGAGACCGCCGAGATGCATAAAACTGAGGCTGAGAAGAACGCCGCTCTTCTCACCGACTTCAAGATCAAGCATGAGACCGAGATGGCACAAGCAAGAAAGGCCACAGCGGGCTTACAACGGGACAAGAGCGATCTCCTTACAGAACTCAATGTCGAGCGACAGCGAAAAGTCAGCGATATCCGTGCTCGTCTTTCTCGTGGAGCCAGTCCGGGTCTGCTTGGACCCAACGGGTCCGAAATTGAGGAAGGGGAAGATGTTTTCGCCACAACTGAGCGAGAAAGTCCCACAAAGAAAGGACCAGGGTTCGGGTACGACGATCAAGCTCATTCTCCATCTCAGTTGTACCACAGCGATTTCGATACACCCGATCCGACTCCATCCAAATTAGGTGACAAAAATCGTCTTCCGCTAGGAGAGATGTACATCAATGAGATTGACGAGCTTCGTAGCAATCTGGAGAAAGCCCAGGCGGAGATCAATGGTCTCAGGAGTCAAGTTGCCAAAGTCAACGCAGTCGACGTGCGGTCCGGTAGTCCCGATGTAGACGAATTTGGTGTCCGAACGCCTGGACTGGGTGAGTGGGCAGACGAGATGGGAGGTTTGACGCCTTCCGCTCGTGGACTGGGCTCGACAAGAGGTCGACGTGGCCGAGGAAGAGGCTTCGCCGCCAGTATCGGACGGAAGTTGGGCTTTGGGCGGTCATCGGCTGCATTCGGTACTCCGGGGGATACAAGCTTGTCCTCAGCCAGCTCTGGTACGCCCGATTTACTTCGAAGTCGGGCGAAGGCATCAGATTCATCCATGTCTTTTGCTACACCTTCCCCTCCTGCTAGCCGAGGTACCTTCTTAGAGCGGGCCATAGCCTCTGACACCGCCGTGAACTCGACCAACATGTCGTCGTCGTCAGAGCCTCGCTCTTCAGTCTCGTCCAAGTTATCACTCGACTCGATGATTCCTGATCTCCATGCAGGACCAGCTTTGGCCGACGAGTTGGGAGCGGAACAACTCACTAGCGCTCTACAACCCGAAGGCCCAGCGTCAATCGATGATTGGTCTCCCGAGAAGTCCGCATCGCCTAGTCCCCTCGTTATCTCCCCTCCAGCGCCTCAAGCATCCATTGCTCAACAGGACGCTAGTACCCCCAGACGTCCCGAGACATTGCAGCAACCACCACATTCGCCCGGAGGTGGGGATGTTACTCCCACCCGTGCTTCAGTAGCACTCCCTCGATCCGCTGTCTTCCCTAGATCCACTTCTATCGCTGGTTCGTTCATGTCCACCACGACCGATGAATACGTCGACGCGCAGTCAAATGCGACGCTCACACCAGAACGATCTCCTTCTCCCTTGGCGACGGATACGGATGCGTATCATACCGGTAACGAATGGCACACTTCTCACGCTGAATCCAGTGCCAGTGAAGATAGCGACGACGATGATACCCGTCGTATGACGGCTATCGGGTTGACTGGTCTGGCTATTGGTAACAGCTCCAGATTCAATCGCTCCATTCACAGGCCCAGTAGGGATAAGATTGTTGAGCGTGTGGTTGAGAAGATCGTTGAGGTAGAGAGAATCGTGGAGGTGGAGAAGATCGTGGAGAAAGTAGTAGACAAGATAGTGGAAGTGGAAAAGATAGTGGAAGTTGAGAAAATCGTCGAGGTACCAGTGGATCGTATTGTGGAAAAGATCGTGGAAGTGGAAAAATTAGTCGAGATACCAGTGGATCGGATAGTGGAGAGAATAGTGGAAGTGGAAAAGATCGTGGAGAAACCAGTGGACCGAATAGTGGAGAAGATTGTGGAAGTCGACAGGCCAGTGGAGAAGATCGTTGAACGCATTGTTGAGGTGGAGAAAATCGTCGAAGTCCCCAAGATCGAAGAGAGGGTCGTTGAAGTTGAACGACGAGTCGAAGTCCCCAACTATCGTCGAGGTAGAGAAGATCGTTGAAAAGATCGTCGAGGTACAGAAAATTGTTGAAGTGGAGAAGATTGTAGAGGTCCAGGTTCCGGTCGATCGGGACGTGGAGAAGGTCGTGGAGAAACCAGTGACTGTGGAGAAGATTGTGGAGGTAGAAAAAATCGTGGAAGTGCCGCAAGAGCGGATTGTAGAGGTGGAGAGAATCGTGGAAGTTGAGAAAATCGTGGAAGTACCGGTGGAGAGAATCGTCGAGGTCGAAAAGATCGTCGAAGTACCAGTTGAGAAGATCGTTGAGCGCATCGTCGAGAAAGAAGTCTTCGTTGACAGAATTGTGGACCGACCTGTGGAAGTGGAGAAGATCGTCGAGAGAATAGTGGAAATACCTATACAGGTGGAACGCATCGTGGAGAAGATAGTAGAGAAAAGGATCGAGGTCCCTGTGGAAGTTGAACGTATTGTTGAGAAGATTGTCGAAATCCCTATCATCGTGGAAAAGATTGTGGAGGTGGAAAAGATCGTCGAGAAAATCGTCGAAGTACCCACTCCACCGACTTCCAACCTCTCAACTTCCACCCAAACCGACCCGTCAGCTTCAGCTTCAGTCCCAGCCTCACCTCGCATTCCGTCCGGAGGAATGTTCAGAATCACTCCCGGAGCAAACTACGATTTCCTCAAAGCTCCTCCTACTCCCAGCACTGTCCGTCGTAAATCTGATCAATCCTCTGTTCGCTCTTTCGATGGTATGCCTCAAAGCCGTGACGTCGTTTCCGCTACTGGTGTTGACGGACTACCTCCATCTCCGGACCCTGATAGGACCCGACCTCCCACCATGCATCTTCCTCCTCCACCATCTGGACCTCCACCAAAGGGCGCCAAGAAGATGTCCACTGGACCTCCTCCTCGACCTCAGTCACCCCCACCTGAGGACTTCGTGACAAGAGCCCAATCATCGACAATCAAACATCGACCTCGGCCTGTTCCATCATCTGCTGCCGCTGCTGTGCGTGCATCTTCAGCTATGGGCCCTCCCCCACCTCGACGTCCATCCGTGCATTCGGTCCGCACTCAGAATGCAGGATCGACCCCAGCAAAAGAAGGATCCATCCTCACTGCTCGACGTCACAGACAACCGAGTGGATACGTATCGGGAGGATCGAGCATTTCATCTTATCATCCCAACGCGTCCATGTCATCACTTGGTTCTGTCGCTCCTCAGAAGAACACGAGGGAGAACGCAGGAAGTACCGATCCAGTTACCATACACGCCATTACTCAGTCAATGATTGGGGAGTATTTGTACAAATACACCAGGAGGACTATCGGGAAAGGTCAAAGTGGGAATAGGCACAAGAGATTTTTCTGGGTTCATCCCTACACTAAAACATTATATTGGAGTTCGGAAGATCCAGGTAGCTCAAGAGCTACAGAGTCTAGTGCTAAGAGTGGTGAGTCGGTTCTTCTTCAATACAATATAGACCTTCTGTATGACCAGCCGTCGTGCTGACATTCAGTTTTCATCTCTAGCGTTCGAGTGATAGAAGACACCAACCCTCAACCAGCCGGATTACATCATCAAAGTATCATAGTCTCAACTCTTGGACGTGAAATACAATTCACTGCTCCCACAGCTGAACGACACGAATTGTGGATGTCAGCTCTTCAATTCCTCCTTCATCAACCTAACCAAACTTCCAATACTATAACATCTGCCAATGCCACTTTGGTCAAATCTCAATCACAACTTCAAGTTGGTATGCCTGATGAACAAGGTCGTTTGATACCTCCCGTACCGAAATCACCAGCCATGCCAAAATCACCTTTGAGTATGAGGAGTTTGAATTCTTTCGATAATTCTTTTAACACTACCCCTAGAGCTCGTCCTCATACCAGTATGAGTATCAGAGCTCCGAGTACGATAGGTAAAAGGACGGGAACGGCAGCTTTTGAATATATGAAAAGACATGAAGTCCCAGAACCTTTATATGGTGGACATAGATACAAAGGAACATATAAAGGAAATCCTATTGCAGATCCGGAAGATTATGATCTAGTGGGTGCTGATGAGGGTGATGATCCTGATGCTAGTTTTGAAGGTTTGGAGAATGTGCGAGGTGAGTTTGAAATGTTTCATACTTCTTCACTCCATTTCGACTTCACTTCAAATTGCCAATCCAACAAGTTGTAGCGTTCCGCTCTATCCCCCATTCACAATGGTTTATCGTTAAATCGCACTATGCTTCAAATGACTCATGTGTGATGCGGGACAATGTGAATGGAAATTTAGCTAATTTCAGCTTGCTGTGATGGTCGTCACGTTGTAGGTGACCACAAACACCACCACCATCATCATCATCGTCCACCTATCCCACCTGATCCTCGTACGCCAGTACGCACCACCACTCCAAGTTTGAAATCTTGGTCTATACGATCCCGAAGACAAAGTAACGCTTCTTCCAAAGTAGCAGGAAGTATGTTCGGTCGACCTACACCTACTCCCGGACCTGGAGATGGTGCTAGTATGAAATCGGCGTTTTCAGGAATGCGTAGTAAGAGCGCTTTGGGTCATAGGAGGGATAGAGAGAGGAGTGAGACGCCTACTCCTAGATAATGAGGTTGAATGGGGTTTCTCCTCTGGTAGGAGAGGAAGGGAAGGAAAGGGGAATGACGGGTGATGAGTGATGTGATCTATTTGGGTATGGGTAGTGTCTATAAAAGGTATCAATCGAGGATGCATGGCTTATCGTGATTACTTGTAACACTTTGCATATCGCATGTCGGGCATCCGCGTTCCATCGTAGTGTTCGTAGTGATCAGAGTGAGCGTCAATGCAAGGTCGCAGGACAAAACTTGTTGCAGCGTCCTGCGGCCAGGGCCTGCGGGGAGCTCTGGGAGTGCCACTCGCTAACAACTACAGACGAAAGTTAACTTCATCTCCACATTGACGTTCAACCTCTCACCTCGCCCGCCGTACGCCGTACGCCGTGTCTCAACTGAGCTACAACGTACACGTTCAATCAAGAAGCAGACAGCAAATCCTCGCAAGTCTACTCCACTGGTCAACTGAAAGAAATGGAAGATATATCAGATCTTGAACTAGTAGCCAAAGCGATGGCCCTTCCACCCATCCCATCCCCACTTCCTATCAACTCCTCTCAGAACCAGACATCACACCCTGCGACAATACGATCGACGAATCCACCAGAAATTCCCAAACCATCAGATATACAGAAAACAGTTTCTACACCACCCATCCCACCGAAATGTACCACACGAAGAGAGGTTTTGGGACAAGTCGAATCCCAAGAAGGAAATCCAACAAAAGTCGATATCTCCACTACTGCTGGTATCTCGTCTCCTGCTGCACGTGAAAGACAGAATGGGATGATCGTTCTTCAACAAGAAGTCGATGAAAGGAAGAATGGAGTTGAGAATGATAATGGTGTAGATTCAATTCATATAGATTCAAAAGATGAAAATGAGGAATTTCAGAAAAGACTATCGAATGAAGAGATTGATATTGATATTGATAAATTAACATTGGAGGACAGAAAAGTTTTGGAACCTCTTCTTTCCCCATTCAATTTGGACGATATAGGAAATATACGACAGTTGTTAGGTTTTGGGGAGGGACAATTGGAAGGAGATGATTTAAATAGGTCCTTACAAGAAACGGAGAGGGGAGATGAGAATGAAGATTTTGAAATATCAGGTTTAGATGCTGAGAACGGGTCTAATGGAGGGGAAGAAGATTTTCAACGTTTATTGATGTTGATGGAAGCCGCAGAGGTAGCAGCGGGAACTATAGAGAATAAACTTGATGGACTTTTGGAGGTTTTACGTGGAGAAGAGAGAGTGTTGGCGGAGAATATGACGGTACGTGAAGATGGAAGGTCTTGAGATGGCATACAATTGTTCTTCATCTGGGGTAGATTATCGTGGAAAAGATTGTCAAGGGGTCGAGTTGAAGCAACGGCAGTGACAACTGAGGTGTTGGTGTGAGAAGAAGACTTGTTCAATCTATCGCAAGAGGGCTAGAAAGAGTATGAGTATGAGTATTCAACCACTGAGGAAGACACGACGTTCGTGGGTGTTTTACTTCCATTTATCAAGAAGATCCCTGACGTGAAGGCTTCAACATGATCAGCACCTGGTATTCATTGTTTGTTGACACCGCAAGATGCATAGAATGATCATGTCCCCTCTAACAACGTCTCCACTGCCAAAGCGGTATTCCCATTGTTTTGCTGTATTGCCCGAACTACCGTTTCTCTTGCCATATTTGGGAACATCGCCGTTAATCTGTTCGTCAGTCCATTGACAATTACAAATCTCCCTCTAAACCCCCTCACGTAAGACCAAATTCAAAAATACCTTCTCCTCTTCGACGATAAAGCTTTGAGAGGGCCATGATGGGATACGAGACGTGGCCACTTACGCTGCGATTTCTTCCTCTGAAGGTAATCGTTGTTCAGGCCCAGTCATCTGAGTGACAAATTGTCCCATTGCCGCTCTCGCACTTCCCGGTACTATGACATTCTCTCTATTGCGTATATTCTGTGCATCACCAGGTGAAGGTGGTACAATCGGAACTTGACCCCCACCTCGGGCAGAAGGTCTTAGTCGACCAGCAAGTAGATTGCGTAAATTTCGAGTTGGTGGATTGACGGCAGTGGTTGTAGCTGTACCTTGAGTCTGACCGGGGAGAACGCGATTGCTTCGTCTTGGAGGAGCCGATTGGCCTATCAGAGGAGAAAAAAGGCGTGACAAAAGGATATGAAGTGAAAGTGGAAGACGATAAGCTTTGAGAGGACGAAGAAAACGTCTTCGATGTGAGGGAAGGGGTAATGATAGTAAGGTATCGAGACGATAAAGATGACCTGTGAGAAGACCTGATGAGGCGGCTAAGATGGAGGCGGGAGGGTTTGAGATAAACAACTGAGTATCAGCCACTTGGTCTCTATTTAAAACTCATAAAGTCGTTTCTACTTTCTTTGGCCGTCCGTCGCTGGGTCGTATTTTGTTTTCTCTGTGGTGTGAGAAAAAAGCGGAAAAGAAACAAGAAGGACAATTCTTATCAAAAGGGGAAAATTGGAGAGGGATAGTTTGACAAGGGATAACACATACTTGTGATGCAAGAATATATGTCATAGCATTACTTGACAAATTCAAGCCAAATACATGAAACTGATATAAAGTCGGAACAGTCCTGTAATTCTGCCATAGTCTGTCTGATGAGCTTATGACCGGTTCTAAATTAGGAAACTCACAAGGAAAAGATGAGACCGTACGGACCCGCAGGTACGGAGTTGAGTCCGAGTTTGTGGAAAACGAGTATCACGGCGAGGGAGAAGAGAACTGAGATGACCGTCGAAACGAGAACAAAGGACTGATTTTATCAGTTCACCTGAATTGGGGCTACCAGTCGACATACAGCAAATTTCCTAGGACCGAACGATCTAGAATTCAGCTGATGACCTTGTGATATTCCACGATAGATTCGAAAAAGAGCAATGTGACGTCACGATAAAGGTCCGGTGAAAATGGGAAGAAAGAAGGAAGGAAGGACATACCGTTCTATCCCTCGACTGACATTGTGAAGAAGTATTTCACCCAAGAGGAGCTCGGTAGAATTCGCAAATGCAAACGGGTGTAAGGGAATTCTCCATAACTGCACATGAGTGATGATCTCTGAAGGGGTTACGGGAGACGGGAGTGAATTGATGAAGAGGGAAAGAGGAGGGGAGAAGAGGGAAAGAGGAGGGGAGAAGAGGGAAAGAGGAGGGGAGCGAAGTAGGGAAAGGAGCAAAATGATATAACAACTTACTTGACGATATTGGGTGATATGGGGAACTAATTGCAAGTGTAAATAAGGCTTGATATCCAATAAAGAAGCGGTTATTGTTGTTATACCTAAGAACAGCATCATGCCTGATTATCAGCTGATGATTGTTGATAGAGCGTAGAGACGAAGCTGACCTTTTGTGATATCAGCATGCTGAAAGCCTGTTTGTCAGCCGAGTGAAGAGGTATATAGGAGGGTCAGATTTTCCAGCAACTCATGGGTGAGCAGTCCGCCACCGAGGAGAAAACACACCTGACATTGTTTAGGTGCTGGAATGATTATGACTGCTTCATCGGACGGAGATGATGTGGTATCCGCGGGAGACTGAATCCCGATATGAAGAAAGAGGTAGAGGATATGTAGAGAAGAGAATGGGATGTGAAGGAAGGGAGGAAGTTGAGTCGGAGTTGGATGTTTCAGAAATTCCTCAGACTCATGTAACATCTAACATCTAAGAATATCAGTCAGGAAACCAATTGAAGCCAAAGTCCATATGAAATCAGAAGCCTATGTTGCCTAAGATCATGCATTTTTCTCAACGGTTTGACACTATTTCACAATTTGTCAACTATCCACGTCCGACATATGGCATACCGGCAGCCAAAATCTCCAACCTCAATACATCCGCATCCCTTCCCAACCCGGTGAGATAAACGATGGTATCCGCCACATTCTTCACCGCCATGAGAGGTTCAGGTCTGATAGACCCGTCAGCCTGTTTCGATCCCTTACTCAAATGATTAGCCATTCCAGTCACGGCGTTCCCGATGTCCAGCTGGGTAGCGGAAATTTTATAAGGTCGGCCATCGAGCGAGATACATTTGGTCAGACCGAGGACACCGTGTTTAGAGATGGTGTAGGGGAATGAGTCTGGAAATCAGTGATGTTTTCTCACAAATGAGCAAGCTGAAGAATCTACGTCCACATGGCTTCCGCAGTAGGGACATGGTGGATGGATCGAGTGCAGGAAGGAGAAGGAGAAACTCACTGGGCCTAGGGGTCGAAGCGGAAATTGAACCATTATTAATGATTCTCCCTCCTTGAGGAGATTGATCCTTCATCAACAAGAAAGCTTGTTGTGTGCACTAGCTTATCAGATACTGTGCTCCACGGTAGAATCATGGGTATAGATCTTCAGAAGAGATGGGATGAAAGAAAGCACTCACGATGACACCTCCCATGATGTTGGTCTCCAGGGTGTCACGGAATTTGGTGAGATCAGCTTCGATGAACGGTACACCGGGAAGAAGGTCAACGCCTGCGTTCTATTCATCAGCTTCTCATCCTTTACTTCACCTCTGGTCCCGCATCACTAACCAAAAGAAAGTGAACAGACATGGTGTGACGGAGGAGATGAAGAAACTCACATTGAAGAGAACATCCAATCGTCCATACTTCTCCTTGATAGTCTTAAACCATCCCTTCACATCCTCTTCACTGGCTGTACTTCCCACACAAACCTCAATAGTGGTTCCTTCTTTACATTGCTCGGCAGTAGCTTTGAGTTCAGCCTCACGACGTCCAGCGAGACAGAGAACAAGTTTTTCAGGATGAGTAGGAGAAGGGAAAGCTTCGGAAAGAGCAACAGCGGAGGCACGGCCGATTCCAGCTGAAGCACCTGTGATGAGGACGACACGAGACATGTTGATGTTGTATAGTATAAAGATTATAGGAGCAAGAAAAACGACGTTGCTAAGTTAAAGAGGGGAAGGGGTCTTGTATGAGGAACGAGGAGAGTTTGCCGGCGATGTTCGGGCCGATGTGGTTTCGGATCCGGACTTGGCCGGAGATGCCGACCGGGCTTCTCGATCGCACTTTCCACTCGTTCTACGACTCTACTCGTAGTCTACCAGGAGGAGCGCTATCTACGAGTTGAATACTCGTACTTGCAACAGTAGTTCTCCTACTCAAGTCCGGGTGACAATATATGGGAATACTACTCGTTTGCGTCATGATCCTAATACAGCCTGAACTCGATGTTGACTTATGATTCGAGATTCGTTCCTCCCATCCGCATCTCCTTCTAATCCGCCATTCCATAGGTTCAAGCCCCCTACCGTTTTCGTTCCGCTCACCAACTTCCTATAGCGCGTCCAATCTCTTTTCTTCACACTCTGATCTGACCAACCTATCAACAATCTACATACATATCAGTATGTCCAAATCAACCCCTTCTTACTTCCGCTCCAAAGTGGTCGTCAGTCAAACACCAATCATGACCGACAAGCCAGGTGAAAGCAGATACTCTCTTACTCAAGCCTCTCGGTCAACCACTTACTGGCTGTCTAACACTCTCACGTCAGCATTAGATACAAGAGGACCTGTGTTTGGTCATCTTGCTGATCTTCCAAACTCCGGGACGGAAAGAATCCTGATATTCCCGCTTATTTCCTCCTCTCACATCCGCCACGGACAATGACACAAAAGCAAATTTCCCAAGGAATCTTGTGGGAGTTGAAAAATGACAGTATCACAGGAAAGCAAAAGGTGACATACATCGTCGATCTCACTTTGATAATCGAGACATCGAGTCTGAGTATGCCGTCCCCAAACAGCACTGTGTGGAATGTGCATATAGCGGGAGACTTTGATCTAGTAGGACTCTACCAAATGGCAGAGAAGTTACGAAGTATGCTTCCGTCGGCTATGGACAATGATGGAGTGGAATAGAAAATACCACATGGTCGCAGCAACGGCAATGGTCCAAGATTGTTCCAGTCAGCCGACAGAAGGTTATTGCACTGATTCAGCAGGGTTTGGAAGACATTCCTGCGGGTTCCGAGCTTGGGGTAGTAGAGACGTCAACTGTGTTCACGGCATCTTGATCGAAAACCGGGAGCCAAGTCTTTATGGGAGAGAAGGAGAGTCAACCGGGTAGAATAAAAATCCTCCAAACAAGCACCCATTCTGGTGACTCAGACAGCACTACACGTTATACTGTCCAGATGACCCGTTTGAGGAGTTTAAGGAAGGGGAGAACGGGAAAAAAACAAGCAGCGCTCTACTCCAAAGAGGCAGAGATGTCAGAGGTCAGAGTTTGAGGCTTGCGAGCGACGTATCATGGCAGTGGGAACGGCGTTTCCCGTAGACTTGAGAAATGAAGTTATCAAGGGGGACACCATGATCAACACATTATTATCAATGTCGCAAGATTGTTCGGGCGATGCGTCACATTTGTGCTAAGGGAGTGAACGTGGGGTCCAGACATTGTAGCTCAATCTACCTTAGGTCATCAACCTCTCAGCTCAAAAGAGAGGGATGAAAAGAGGAGCAGAGAAGGGGGGAGAGGGAAGGGTGAGAGGAAGGAAGGCGCATACATAGGGGATAGTTATCATCAACTCACATCTTCTCTCTTCTCTCCATCCCCTCTTTCCCTCCGAGTGTTCTACTTTCTCCACTGAATATCTGTATTACATTCACAAAGTCATGATATGAACCCTGAATCCTTTCACCAGGTGGATGATACTCCTGTAGATTGCAAGCATGGTATTTTGTACCCCTTCTTGGTGTCCAGAGGACTACAGGAGTTAGCAAATGCTCTTACTGCCCTTCCTGAAGATGGAGGGGGAATGTATACTGTGGCAGGGCTCCCTATGGGCTCTGAATATACTACAATCAGTAAGATACCCGAGGCATTACAGGAATCTGACCGCATTGAATTCGGGACCCCAGGACCGGACAACAGTGGTCGAGTTCGATCGCTATACTCCTTCGCATGTTCCGGCCATGTTTACAAGACTGTAGACGATGTTCCCGGATCTGATGGTTCCCAACACACAGCCGTGCACGTCTGGGCTGGAGTCTTACAATATATTCCGTCACTTGCACATGTGGGAGAAGGTGAACATCATTCTTGGGAGGCAACCATTGCCATCACAGAGGCGCCTCTGAGCAAGAACGTCATATGGAGTTTCTTTGCCAAAGATAGTTCAAGCGGGTTGAACTATGTGGCAACTCTCACAAAACGGGGGTCGGTCTACTGTCGACAAACGAACCTGCACACAAACACCTTATCAAGCTTGAAGAAAGGAGGAACTGCAATGCCTAATGCAGCTGGCCAAGTCAGCACATGTGTTGTTGTTCTGGCAGTTACTTCAAATACCCTGAGCTCAATGGGCATACAATTTAAGACGGGCAGTGGTTGTGAGCTTAGTGAGATCTTTACCAGAGTTGACAATGTTGTGACAGAGCCGGCTACCACATCCGTTGAGGCTCGAACCCCGATGTGAGGAGGTTCACACGGAGATGTAGTTAAGGAATTGATCAGTTCACAGGAATCACAGGAGTAGACAATATGCAGTAAAGATGACAATGATGATGATGATAAAAATTTGTCTGTCATTCTGGTAGTCAATATCACAAAGAGGATACTTTCTCCAGATAGAGACCTCACACCATGACACACAGGATGAGTCATCTCTGAGGAGCCTTGTGGGCATTGAGAGTGTCATATTAACACAGCACATGAAACACCTCGAGTGTCTCTCCATGACTAGTGGGGTTCAAAGCCAGTGGGATATAGGCGAGTTGATATCCTCACCTCCGTCAACTGTGAATTCACACGTACCCATGACATCACTAGTGGATCCTGAAGTGTGCGAGATACTCTCGCGCTAGAAGCTGAAACAACTTAAACGGATAGACAACTACCCCGAGGGCTATGCGCGCTCTTCCTATCGGAGAATGAATCTCCCTTTACTAGAGGATTTGCCTTCTAACCTGTTTCAAGATCCGAAATTTGAAGATCAGCGCCCGGATCCCCGTCGCTTCTGTCTGGCTATAAGGCCAATCGTCTAGTGAGATCCTGTCCTCATTCTTCCTCATAGTCAGTCCAAAAACCATTGATCTGCGAGGCAATTTCTAAACAAAGTTCTTTCTGACTCTACAAGCATGTCACAGGCTGAACAGGTCCGTGATCCCATTCTTGACTTGCTGAAAGAGACACATCCGTCACTGAGCGACCTTGCCTCAAAGCAAACAGCTCATTGTGCAGCAGTGTACACTTTGATTCCATCTGATAGGAGTACTGAGGGTGTCTCACAGACACTCAACAATTTGGCTGTCACGAACTACGTCGTGACACCTCGATTACTCCACCAACAATGACCCTCCTTTGGCCATCAAAACCCCATCACGCCTTAACCTCTTTACTCTACACGTAACTCAGGACTTCTGACACCAAGTACGGCGAAGTTAGACGGAGTTAGGCTAAGTAGGGACAATGGGAGCAGAAGTGCGGCGATGTTAGGCGGAGTTAGGCTAAGTAGGGACAATGGGAGCAGAAGTGCGGCGATGTTAGGCGGAGTTAGTCGAAGGAGGAAGAGGATGGCCGAGGGCTCGGGGAAGTTGGACGAAGTGCGTTGAAGTACGTCAAAGCGCGAGAGGGTTGGATGAACGTCTAGGAGGAGTAGATAATATTAGCTGAGAAGATCGCTGAAGTTCTTCAGCGATCCTTGATTGTTGTCAGTAGTGAAAGACCGATAGAGATAGCTATAAATCAAGATACATCGCCATCAGTAGAACAAAACCCTAGTTAGAGTAACTACGCCGAAGTACGCCGTAGTTACACCCCTTTCGACGTCTGCGCCCTCCTGGTTGGGTGAGACATCGACTCAGAGCGTGAAGTTAGCCGAGGTTCGTCGACCGTCGGTCTATTAAGAAATAGTTGTTCGAGGGCCGTGACAGTATCAAGGATCGCTCTTACCGACGACCCGTGCGAACCTCGGAGAAGTACAAAGATAATATGGAACCAGAAAGAAGAATTACACGAGGGATGAGTAGGGATGGAGACAGGATGGAGGAGAACGAGAGGAGAGCATTGGAGGAGCTTAGCAGAGCAATGGGGCAGGACCTTGGAGTGGAGGATAGTGTGGGGGGATCAATTCAAGGAGATGAGTTCGTTCCACCGGTGCCTTCTAACCCTCCTTCTCCTCCGTCTAATGCTCTCCCACCTGCGGGATCCCCACTTGGATCAGACCAAACCCCACGCCCAAGAGAAAACACTGGAAGTACGGCGAACTTGGGAGAAGAAGGAACACAAGGGGTGGTGTTGGCCTTGATGCAGATGGTGGCGAATATGAACAAAGACATGATGGAGGAGAGAAGGCGTAGGGAGGAATGGGAACAGAGAAGAGAAAGGGATACAGTGGGCGGGATTGCAGAAGGGATATCAGAAGGAGTGAGGTACGCCATGGGACGGCAAACTTCGGCGACCCCAAGCGTAGTGGGCGAACAACGGAAGGGGATAAAGCTACCTAACCCAGACCTCTGGAGAGGAGATCGGAACAAGTTAACCGCTTTTCTGTCTGAGTGCGACGTACATTTCGAATTGAACTCTCATCTTTTCCCCGACGACACTAAGAAAGTCTTTTTCATGATCTCTCATCTACGCGAAACACCTCTTCTTGCAGTGCAGCCCGATCTATCCAAAAGACCTCTTCCTGAGTACCTCACGACACACGATCAGTTCGTTAAGTACCTCAAGACTAACTTTGGTGATCCAGACGAAGAAGGAACTGCGGCCCGACAACTTAACGACCTCAAGCAAACCGGGTCTGCTTCGGACTACTTCTCCGCCTTCCAGCGACATGTTGCGATTCTTAAGTGGTCTGATGATGGAAACCTAGTTGACCGAGCCAAGAAAGGACTAAAATCGCACCTTCTAGATGAAATTGCAAGACACGGTAGATCGTTTGGGACTGTGAAAGAGCTATTGGAGTTTGTGATTCCCTTGGACAACCGCCTGTGGAGGAGACAAGTGGAGAAGGAGGCAGAGAGGAAAAGGGAAGGAGGGATAAGGACAACGACAGTGGTGGAAAGTCAGAGGACGGAGAAGAAAGAAGAGAAGAAATGGGAAAAGGGGCAACCTTCGGCGCAGGGTGGTGTCCAGGCGGCTATGATGTCGACGGTGGTAAAGAGTACACCGCCAAACATCGACGAAGTTCGCCGAAGATGGCCTAGGCCGAGCTCCGATCTGAGGGAGACAAGGAGGAAGGAGGGGAAGTGTACCGAGTGTGGTGAAGCAGGACATTGGCTGAAGGAATGCCCTGTAAGGGAGGCTAAGGTTAAGGTTGGACTGTTGCCTCCATGGGGGGGGAAGTTCGGAGAACGTGGTGGAGGATCGGGAGGGAACGCAGTACCTCTCGGACAGAGGAGGAACTTGAATGCGGTTGGAGGAGAAGTAGATTTGGAAGAGGACCAGGGAAAAGAAGAGGACCTGTCGCAGTAGGCGAGGCTCGGCGGGTCCGCCATATTCTCTCGGCCACCATTCCCAAACCCATAAAAGAAACACAGCTGATGGAGCCAGAGGATTGTGAATACAAAAATACACCACTCAGTACCCCTTGTTCATGCAATGTCGATAATCATCTCCTCATCCCTTCCGTTTCCAGAGATCAACCTAAATCGGACATTTTCATTAATGGAATAAAGCTAACTACGCTCTGGGACACTGGAGCTACTTGTTCATATATAAGCCCTAGGGCAGCAGCGAAGATAGGTGTAGAAAAGAGGCGATATCAGGTGAGCGTACCCGTTCACATGTTCGACGGCTCGGTGAGTGTCGCTGGACCCATCACCGAGTTTGTCGAAGTCGGATTTAGTTTGACGAAGGACGCCGAAGTGCGATCTGTTTGTCTCGATGTAACAACGCTCTGCGACGCAGATGTTGTGATAGGGTGGGATTGGATGAGGAAGGAAGGGGTTGTCCTTGATGGAAGAGACAACTCGGTGAAATTTCCCATCCCAACCCCACCAAGTGCGGCGAAGTTAGCGGCCATAGGGCTGCCGACTCCGACGGACGCGATAGACCTCCGCGGCGAAGATGAGCTTGAAGAGCTGAGCCCGGAGGAACAAGACGAGTTGTTCCAGGTAGTTCCTGAACAATACCACCAGTACATTGACGTTTTTAATCCGAAGAAGGGAGGAGAGACCCTTCCCCCTTCAAGGTCCTACGATTTGAAGTTTGAGCTTAAGGAGGGGGCGAACCTTAAGGTCGCCTCCCTCTATGCTCAAGGAGAAGATCAGAGACGCGCGCTGAGAGACATACTAGATCGCGAAATCGCCGCTGGCCGAATTCGGGGAAGTAACTCGCCATACGGCTCACCAATGTTCATGATACCGAAGAAAGCCGAAGGACAATGGCGAATGGTCATCGACTATCGAAAACTGAACGAAGCGACCATACCAGATGCCTACCCTCTCCCTCTAATAGGTCAAATTACTGAGGAACTTGGAAAAGCAAGGTATTTCAGCAAACTAGATCTAATTGGAGCATACCAGTTGTTGAGGGTGACAGAGGGACATGAACACCTGACGGCGTTCAGGACACAGTATGGTATGTTTGAATCTCTGGTTGTTCGTGATGGGCTGCGAAACGCCCCCGCGGTCTTCCAACACTTCCTAAATGAGGTGTTTAGAGAGCTACTAGGGAATGGAGTCGTGGTCTACATTGACGATATCCTCATTTATGGGAATACGTTGGAGGAATTACGAGGAACTACGGCGAAGGTCTTTGAGGTACTGCGGAAGGCGAGCCTGTACGTGAAAGCTAGTAAGTGCGAGTTCGAAAGAGATTCGGTGGTGTTTCTGGGTTTCGTGGTATCCTCTAAAGGTGTATCGGTGAACCCAGAATACATTGATGCCATCACTTCCTTCCCACGTCCTAAGAATCTACGAGAGTCAAGGGGATTCATTGGAGTTGTAAGCTATTACAGGCGCTTTGTCCCCAACTTCTCGAAGATTGCTAGACCTATCAATGACTTGACAAGGAAGGAGGTACCATTTGTATGGGGAGTCGAACAGGAGTCAGCCTTCAAAGAGTTGAAGGCTAGGATGTGTACTGCGCCGGTACTAGCCCATTTTGACCCTATATTGAAGACGATATTACAGACAGATGCGTCGTTCTTCGGCTGGGGGTTCATAATTTCGCAGATCAACACGGCTGGTCAAGAACACCCGGTAGCTATTGAGTCTGGTGCTTTCAACACAGCTCAGCTGAATTATACGGTAGGAGAAAAGGAGTTCCTCGCTGTAGTGGAGGGTTTCAGAAGAAGGAGACACTTATTATTGCAGGTAGAAACCACAGTACTTACCGACCATCTAAACCTTACCTACTGGATGGAGCCGAAACAACTCAGTCCTCGGCAAGGTAGGTGGGTAGAGGAGCTAGCTAACTTCAGGTTTAAAATGGTTTATCGGCCAGGAACCCAGGCAAGTCTTCCAGATGGATTATCTAGACGGGCGGACTATCATTCCGGGAAAGGAAGTACCATGGTACAAGAGAGCAACCTTATCCAAGGTCTGCCGAAGTTCGACGAAGTTGACGCCACCACGTCGGAGTTGCGTCACCTCCTTCGAGCATTGCAAGGGACAAGGGAGGTAAAGGAAAATGATCTTGTGGACCCTATGGATCTAGTACTTGGAGTTCAGGAGGACGAAGACATAGAAGGGGTCAGAGAAGAATTATTAGGAGTCGTTTGCGCTGAGTGTTCTCATCCTACGTGTAACGATAACGTGCAGGAACCAGGATCAATCACCGAACTACGCCGTAGTTCGCGGTCTCCTCTAATCCTTCGTGGGGGGTGGAACTCAAGAGGTTTCCTCACATTCGACGATCGCATTTATGTGCCGAACTACGCCGATGCTCGGCTGAAGATCATGAAGATGCGACATGACTCAGCCTTGGCCGGTCATCCAGGTTCGGCGAAGACCCTTGAACTAGTCCTGAGGGATTATGTCTGGGTTGGAGTAAGGAAGGATGTCGAAGATTATGTTGCTGGATGCGCGGTATGTCAGAGAGCGAAGACTAACAGGCAGAAACCTCATGGGGAGCTTAAACCACTGGAGGTAGCTACGAAACCTTGGTCTAGCATCTCGATGGATTTTATCGAGGAGCTGCCAAATTCCCATGGATATAATTCCATCCTGGTAGTGGTGGATCGGTTGACCAAATGGGCCATTTTTATCCCGACTACGACGAAGTTAACCGCAGCCGGCCTATCAGAGTTGATATTGGACTATGTGGTGGCCCAGCATGGGTTGCCAGAGAATATAGTATCGGACAGGGGATCGAAGTTTACCTCCAAGTTCTGGAAGAATTTGACCGATAGTCTCGGAATAAGACTACATCTCTCTACTGCATATCATCCACAGACTGACGGACAGACCGAAGGAACCAACCAGTCTTTGGAACTGTATCTTCGAATCTTCACCTCCTATCAGCAGAACGACTGGTCAAAGCTACTCGCTCGAGCTAGCTTTGCTTACAACAACACCCAGCACTCTGCGATAAACAAAACCCCATTCTATGCGAACTATGGATATCACCCTCGTTGGGCTGAAGAGATAAAGGCTAGCGAGGTCGAAGTGCCCGCTGCTACGGTGGTGGTAAAAGACTTGACTGAAATACACAAAGATTGTATCGAAGGAATTGAGAAAGCTAATGAGAAGTACGCCGAAGGATACAATAGGAAACACCGGACTACGCCGAACTTCGCGGAAGGAGACCTAGTAATGCTGTCGTTAGAGAACATCAAGACTAAAAGACCAATGAAGAAGTTAGATGTGAAGCAAAGTGGGCCGTACAAGGTAGTACGGCAGGTAGGTTCTCATGCTTGTAAATTGGAATTACCAGGAACGATGGCAGGTATCCATGATGTATTCCATGTTTCATTGCTTCGTCCCTATCATCCTCCAGTATTCCCTGGTCAGCAAGCTGAACCACCTGGCCCAGTAGAAGTAGATAACGTAGGAGAATCGTGGGAAGTAAAGGACATTGTGGACTCTAGAGTAAATAAGAGGTCAGGAAAGTTAGAGTACTTGGTGGAGTGGTTAGGTTACGAAGGAACAGACGATTCAGTATCATGGGAACCAGTGGAGAACGTCGATGGAGCTGATGACATATTGGCGAAGTTCCACGAACTTCACCCTACTAAGCCGAAGGAAGGGCGACTGCGAAGGGCTAGGAGATAGAACGTACTGCATACAACATAGGATTACAGCTACGTACCGCTCACTTGTCCTTACTCTTACCCTTACCTTTTCCTTTTCCTTTCTCCTTCGATCTACTCGGTCCCGCGGGATTGGTGTGGAGGCTACCGATGACCGAAGGTAGATCGAGAGTCTCAGACGGGAACGCAGTAGAGAGAGAAGCATTCCATGCCCGATTCATAGCCCCAAAGAAGTCACCGAAGTCCTGGACATCTCGAGCAGCTTGCATGCTCGGGGTCCTCCACAGAGAACGTATGGTCCGTAGACACTCGAAGGGAAGACTGAGGAGGTCGAGAGCAGTCTGGGCGGAAGCTGGGACACGAGAACTACTACGGCGACCTAACCAGTCAAGGGACGGTGGTGGCTCATACGCCATAGGAGTGACTAGGAAGGGGGTGTCGAACAGTCTTCGGCGAACATCGGCTATCTCAGTAAGGCTTCGGCGAGAGACGTCCGCTAACCTTGTCCTTGCTTCGTCGTCCAGAGCCCCAGTGTTGACTACATCTACTAACGCCGCAGTAAGATTGTTTAAAGCGTTAGCTTGACGAGAAGAGAAGTCAAGCAGGAGAGATGTATCATTTCGGGCGGCCTCAAGCTGAGTAGTGAGACCGAGGACGAGAGAACGATAAGTGGCGAATTCCTTTTCGTCCTCAGGAATACGGACGTCCAGGGAGATACGAGGGTGGACGAGGGACAACCGGGGAGCAGAGGGACCAGCACGCTGAGTATCTTCACTTTCCACATCACCATCATTGAAGGCAACCTCCTTCTCTTTAGATTTCCCTTTTGATTTCTTTAAAGAAGACTTCGGTGTCTTCTGGGAAGCAGAGGGAGGGGTGACGGGAGGGGCCGCCGAAGTGGCCGGAGGAACAGAAGGACGCCGACTTCGGGTGCTGTGAGCCGGAGGAGAAGCTACCACTGGAGAGGACGGACGTGGCGCCGAAGGACGAGAGGCCGAAGGAGCAGAGGCCGAAGGACGGCGAGAAGACGAAGGAGGAACAGCCGGGAGACGTGATGGGCCGGCCACAGGAGCGAAGGGCGACGGCGACGGAGGCGACGGGCGGAGGTCCGGGGTCCGGCGAAGTACGGCGAACCGACCGGAGAGACGAAGGAGGTACCCGCGAACGGGGGACAGACGCTGGAGTCTGAGGAGGGGGGAAGGGCGAAGAGTCGGAGGGACGGGGCGGGATGTCCCGGGCAGAGGAAACGGGACAGAAGGAGCAGGGGCCAGACGTGCATGAAGCACAACGGAGGGCCTTGTTGTGTGGCCTGACTGCCTTGAGGCAGGGCCAGTTTGGACGATTATACGTGATAATCTCACGTCTACTAATTAGCAGGAGTAACTTCGGCGTAGAACGAATAGGTGGACTCACCGGCAACGATCACACGCTTCGTCAACACCAACCGCGATCCAACGACCAGGCTCGGACTTCATCTTCTCCCACAAGTACTCTTCTTCCCGCAGTGATCTCTTCACCCGTTTGGGCGAAGGCTCCCCTCTGGGAGAAGGGGGGGGAGCAGCGACGGGGGCGGCGGCAGCAGGACCAGCAGCGGCGGCAGCGGCGATGGCGTTGGGGGGGGGGAGAACCCCGGAAGAAGAAGAGGAAGAAGAAGAAGAGGAAGAAGAAGAAGAAGAGAGGGAACGGCGTCGTTTCTGGCCCACAATTTGAGCAGGGGGAGGGGCAGGACCGGCTGCGAGTTAGCAATGTCTTGGAGAGCTAAAGAACAGATAAACAAGGCCAAGTTCGGCGAAGGTGTGAGGGGTTGGAGAGCTAAAGAACAGATAAACAAGGCCAAGTTCGGCGAAGGTGTGAGGGGTTGGACGAAGAACTCACGCTCAGGACTATCTACGTTGTTGTCCTCTACACTAATCACCTCCACATCATCATCCGGGTATTCTTCTAACTCGCTTTCACCCTCACTATCGATCCTACCCTCCCCATCATCATCATCCTCACTTTCTTCGGTGTCGGGTCGATCACCCGACTCCGAGCCCCCACTGAGCGAGTCCTGGTCGGAGGAGGACGGAGACTCACCAGGACGAAAGGCGGGTGTCCTACGGCGAGGAGTGGCGGCAGGAGGAGGCCCTCCAGGAGAACCCGTTACGGGGACGGGAGAACCAGCGGAGGGAGAGGCGGAGCGAGGGGGCGGGGCAGCGCCAGACGGCTCCCCCAGAGAGAGAGTGCCGAGGCCGAGGGAGGAGACTTGGCGAGATCTGTCGCCGAAAGAAACTGAACATCAGCCAAGTTCGGCGAGGTAGGGTGAGTATCGATGAAAACTCACGAGCAGATGACACCATACCACCAAAGTTCCTCATGGCGGCGAAAGGGCTGGGTGTAGGAGTAGAAGGGGCCATGACGTTAAGATATTTAAATGAGAATAAAACTCGAGGCGATGATTCAAGGTAACAAATCTGTTTTCTAGGTAAGAGAGATAGAAAGTTTTGAAAGCAGATGGGAAAAAGAGAGAAGCTCGACGAACTGCTCAGTATTTAGTATAATCAAACCTAACCCCTCGTCGTCAACATGCAGCAAACTTCGCGTTTCATCAACAAAAGGCATCGCAGGGACGATCAAAATTCCCACGCTATAGTGTCTCATCTCAATATAAGCGA